ACAGGGTTTCTCTGTGTAGCTTTGCGCCTTTCCTGGGACTCACTTGGTAGCCCAGGCTGGCCTCAAACTCACAGAGATCCGCCTGGCTCTGCCTCCCGAGTGCTGGGATTAAAGGCGTGCGCCACCACCGCCCGGCCCCCCTTTTCTATTTTAATAAAAAGGAAAAAAAAAGAAAAAGGTTATAACTAACAAAAGAAAAACTATATACAAAAGTACAATGACTATATACAATATATACAAGTAATAAATGTCTAAACAATGTCTAGTCCATTTGTATTTGACAAATTCAGAGAAAATAATTTCATTATCTATCCTATTTTGTTAAGTCCAAAATGTATCTAATTCACTTTCTATCCTAATTAATCTTCAACTATAACTAACTAACCTTCAACTATAACTACCTAATCTTCAACTCCCTCAGAGACCCAAGAAGGAAATAATATTAGCTAACAAAAATAAAAACAGAAAGTGCATGCAAGCAACTTCAAAAAATTTGTGAGTTGACAGAAACAGCCAGCTGCCTGGACAGTCACCTAAGGTTTCTCCACAGTGTTGGGGCATCATCTTCAGCCTATAGGCTTAGCATATCTGACAGACTCATTTGTGAAGTAGGATGTACACAAGGTCAACAGTTCAACCTCACATTGGGTGAGAGCAGTCCATGTACCAGAAACACCTGAATTCCACTAGTGGCGTCCAACGTGGTGGCAAGAGTTTCCACCTAAAACCTGAGAAAAAAGATTCTAAAACGGAGCGAAAAACAGCTTCCTAATTGTCTCTCTCAAATGAGCGGCAGCTGCCGGTTTGAGCTACTGGCAGGTTGCTGGCGTGCGCGCTCGACCTGCAGTATGGCGGGAATGAGGCCTCAGCAAGTGGCACATTAAGCTGCATTGTGGATTTAGCCTTTGCTAGTACAAAACAAAAAAAGAGGTTTCTGGGCTACACGCTGCTTGGATAAAAGCATAGACCCACGATAGCTCCCAGAGCTGGTGGTAAAGTACCACGCCATGTTGGGAAGCTGCAGTGGGCGGAGCCAGCGGCCACAGCTGCTGCAGCTTAAAGCAATAGATTCACAATAAGACAGATTCAGATGTAATAGTTTAAAATGTGTGTAAAATATACGTAGGCTTGAAAGAGACAAAAAAAAGGTGATATATACAGTATAGAAACAAATACATGGTTTTAAAAAATAAAGTCTTTAAAGAGACAGTAAAATTAATATAAAAAATAAGCCACGTAGAGATGACTATTACACAGAGAGTCTGGATTGTGTTGTCTTTGGGATTCTTAACTACAGAGAGATATTTGATTGTAAAGGAAGCTGAGTTAAACCAGTATGTATATTTTAAAGATACTTTGACTTCAAAATTTGGATGTAAGGATATGTTGCTTTGGAAAAGAGTCTCTTTTGTTTCCACAGAAAGCAAGAGGCTATGGATTTGTTCCAGATTAAGACACATCAGGTTTGACCAGCCAAGACCACCTGAAAGGTCTCCGATGACACCATGGCCCAGATGATCCAACATCCATAACCGTTTCAAGACAACTGGCTCAGATGATACAGCCTCACGGACTACTCCATGATCCTAAAATTTTCTTTGTTTCCCCAGAAGATACAGCGCCCCCCTCCAGCAGGGAGTAGTAAGAGAAGCTACGCCCAAATTCCCAAATATACCAAGCTGACTTTGGAGATGTGTAAAGGTTAAAACCTTCCTTTTTAAGAAAAGAAAAGGGGAGGTGCTGTGGGATGGTCTGTATGTCAAATGTGTTGCTGATTGGTCAGTAAATAAATCACTGATTGGTCCGTGGCCAGGCAGGAAGTATAGGCGGGACTAACAGAGGAAAATTGAGAGAACAGGAAGCTGGAGGGGAGACACTGCCAGCCGCCATGATGACAAGCCGCATGTGAAGTACCGGTAAGCCACGAGCCACGTGGCAAGGTATAGATTAATAGAAATGGATTAATTTAAGCTGTAAGAACAGTTAGCAAGAAGCCTGCCACGGCCATACAGTTTGAAACCAATATAAGTCTCTGTGTTTATTTGATCGGGTTTAAGCGGCTTGGGACTGGCGGGTGAGAGAGATTTGTCCTGACTGTGGGCCAGGCAGGAAAACTCTAGCAACAAAAGAAATAAATAAAAGGACAGAAATAAGCGATGAACCAGCCTATCTGCAATTAGGTTTAAAAACCATCTTATAGTAAAGACAACAAGGCTCATTTCTGTGCATGACCAAACCTCTGTTTCTCAAGGATTGGGCTGTGCCCCAGCTGTAACCATAACTACAAATGGTCCTGGACTGCCTGGTCCAGGAAACCGCAACTATGCCTTTGTCTCAAAAAGCTGTAATGACCATCTTGCAATCCCAGCTTTGTTTCAAAAGGTTAGTATGACTTCTTTCTGTTGTGACTACTTTATCAGGACTCCCTTGTTGTGACCACCTTCAATCATGTCTTTGTCTCAAGAGGTTAAGATCCACTTGTTAGGCTTGTGTCCTGCTCCTGTAACCCTGCCTATTTCCCCCCATTTGGAAACCCCTTACCCCGAGCTATAAAAATCTTGTCTTCCTCGTGTCCAATGATGACCTCTTGAACCCCACCTTAGGGAGAGATAGCCTATGTACACACATTAAAAAAAAAAAAAAAGCTTGCTTTAATTAATTGCTTGCTTCAGTTAATTTGGCCATCATGATTTGGGTAGGTGGTCTTTCTCTTTGCATCTTTGATAAAGACATGAGAAAAGGAAGGAACAGACTGATCTTCCCTCTCTTGTCGGCATCGGAATGGATCTCTTGGGTCATGACCAGGGTTGTAGCAAAGATGACCTGAAGGCTGGAGAGGTGGCTCAGCAGGTAAAAGCACTGGCTGCTCGTCCTTAGGACTCGGGTTAGATTCCCAGCATCTACATGGCAGCTCACAACTGTCTGTAACTCAGTGCCAGGGGATCCAGCTCCCTCTTCTGGCCTCCACAGGCACTGCATGCATGTGGTGCACACACATTCATGTAGACAAAGCACCCATGCAAAAGATGATGAGAAAGAAGACTGAGAGCAAGGACCTCCTCTTCCCTGCACGACAACCTTTGACATTAAAACACAGAATCAATTGTATCCTGGACATATGAGGAGAAAGAGGGCCGAAGTGAGGGGTCGTGATTTTTCTTCCCACAAGATGGTGGGGCTTTCCATTCTGACGGAGGGCAGCAGTGACTTAGCCAAAGGCACACACCCCTCCCCATCTTCCTGAGAGAGAGGCTGGTCCTGCTGACACCGGGGTGGCCATGGTTTAGGGCAAGAGGACTTTCTGGAAGGAAAAGGGCTGATGTTCATTGCACTTCTCTTTCCTGTGTTATAGCAATCAGCTCTGATTAACTATGGCAGTCAGACTAACTGAACTCTAGGGATTTAATAAAAGTGTCTCTTTCCGTAAGTGGGGCTAAACCTGTCAGAGAAGATTCTAGAACTATGCCTCCTAATATGTAGATACTTGTAGTCAGTGAGCACTTAAATGTCGTGACTTTGTTTATTGATGCATCTATTTATTTATTTATTTATTTATTTTTATTTATTTGAGACAGGGGCTTGCTGTTTAGCTCTGGTTGGTCTGGAACTAACTTGCTATATAGACCAGGCTGGCCTTGAATTTATAAGATCTGCCTGCCTCTGCCTCCTGAGGGCTGGGATTAAAGGTGTGCAGCACCACCATCTAGCTAGGTCTTTATTATTATTATTATTATTATTATTATTATTATTATTATGCATGTAGACTCATATGCCACAGCATGCATGTGGCAGCCAGAGGCAACTTTGTATAGTCCATTCTTTCCTTCCATCTTTACAGTAGTTCCAGAGAGACAAAATTCAGGTCGCCAGGCTTGCAGTAAGCACCTGTATTTGGTGAGCTATCTCACTGGTCTCACTACATTCTTGTTAAACACGAATTTATCATTTTATTTATTTATTTGTATGTACATGTGTGTATGCAGGTGCCTAAAGGGGCCAGAATTGGTAGTAAGCCACCTTATGCGGGTGCTAGGAACCAAACCCGGGTCGTCTGGAAGAGTAGTAAGTGCTTTGAACCACTGAGCCATCTTCCCAGCCATCCCCCTTCCCCACTCTGTTCTTTTTTTTTTTTTTTTGGTTTTTCGAGACAGGGTTTCTCTGTGTAGCTTTGCGCCTTTCCTGGTACTCGCTTTGGAGACCAGGCTGGCCTCGAACTCACAGAAATCCACCTGCCTCTGCCTCCCGAGTGCTGGGATTAAAGGTGTGCGCCACCACCGCCCGGCCCCACTCTGTTCTTTTTTTTTTTTTTTTTTTTTAAAGATTTATTTATTTATTATGTATACAGTGTTCTGTCTGCATGTATGCCTGCAGGCCAGAAGAGGGCACCAGATCTCATTACAGATGGTTGTGAGCCACCATGTGGTTGCTGGGAATTGAACTCAGGACCTCTGGAAGAGCAGTCGGTGCTCTTAACCTCTGAGCCATCTCTCCAGCCCCCCACTCTGTTCTTAATGCCGCAGATACCTTCTTTAGATTTTGCTGTGGGCTACTGGTGGCTCTGCCCATCAAGTACCAAAAATAACAGATTTAGTGCCCTGTGGGTCAGATGCAGTGGGACCAGGGCTCCATGGGCATCAGCTTCCAGGGGCCATTGGCACACAAGAGCTCACGGAGGGTACTGGGATGAACTAGCCCCTGAAATTACACCCTTGCTCACTTCTTCCTTTCCAATACCCCGTTCCCCTGGTTCCTGGACCCGTTTCTCCTGGAGACACGTTCCTATCAAGTCATTGGCTCCCAAATGCTCACCTCACCGTCTGCATCTAGGGAAACTCACCTTTAAAACATGATTACATCACCGTAGATACTGCTCATGACCTTGGGTAGTGGCACATAGAGATCAACAGTAGGTATTTCGTGACCATGATGGGCCACGTGTGACCCAGATCACTTGTGATTATGTCTAGGAAGTCGAAAAGAATATCACACCCAGAGCCATGGACGGTTCATTTTATTGCTCTTTATTTCGGCTCTTCCCCAAACACTTTACAGTCCCCATCTTGGCTCCTTTTCCAGGAAGCTGAAACTGCCTGGTTCTCGCCATCTTCACGCCATCCCTCTGCCCTTCACAGACTATTTCAAAATCGACACTGAAACAGGAACTAGTACAGCCCAGAAGCACCTAGGCCTATGTTAAAGAAAGTGGGGGTGAGGAAGAGCAAGGAGTCCCCCTGGGGGGTGGGGGGTGGGGAGCATCACACTGGGAGTTGTCACACCGGAGGGGAGTCACACCGGAGGGAGTCACACTGGTGAGTAAGTGTCATGGGACAGGCAGTGTCTGAGTCCTGGAGTTCCAGAAATTTCTGAAACAACCAACGCTGCCAGGGAGAATCATAGCACAATCTACAAAGACAAGCCGCCTCCGAGAGGGAGGCGCTCACTTCCCCTTACCATAGATAAAAATAAAACCCACAAAGCCACTCTAACTGAACACTACACATGTCAAACTCCACATCCCCACAGCGGCTCCCGCGGAGAGGTGCATGTGCTTTCTGCTCTAGAGCTGGAGGCAGGATTTGGGGCTTTACCCCCAAGGGCAGGGACCACTGTCTGCAGAGGCAGAGGATGACAACTTTGGAGGCTCTGTGGCCTGACCAGACATGGTGCTGTAGGCCCAGCTGGATAGAAAGGCCAGGGGTCTGTGTACAGAAGACACACTCTTATTTCTTCAAGGCAGTGACTGGTGTCCTGGGTGCTTTTTCAATACACTGAGGAGTGTTTCTAAAGAGCCCACCACAGCAAGGGCAAAGGGTTTAAATGTGGATCTTGCCTGTCGGGGACAAGCCGAGTCCATGGCTAGCTCGTGTTGTCAGAGCCCAAGTCTGTGCTTGTGGCTCAGTAGCATGCAACCAATGTTGTTTGCATAGCCAAGGGAATAATCCAAGGTAAAAATCCTGTTTCCCTAAGAATGTATGACTGTAACCCTTTCTTCGGTTATACGGGACTGCTTAACCCTTCAAAGTAGAATTAATATTTCCTATATTCCTGCCCCTAAAGGACCTTCTTTATCTAAATAATTTTAAGTTTTAAATATTATTTACTTGTATGTGTGCATGCCTGAGTGTATGTGTACCATCTGTGTGCCGAAGCTCATGGAGGTCAGATAAGAGCATTAGATCCCCCAGAATTGGAGTTATAGGTGGTTGGGAGCCACCATTTGAGTGCTAAGAACTGGACCCAGGTTCTCTGCAAGAGCAGCAAGTGCTCTTAACCAGTGGGCCATCTCTCCATACCCTAAAAAATTTTATTTTTAATTATGTATATGGCTATGTGCACACGTGTGCAGCGCCATCAAGGGCCAGAAAGGGTATTGGCTCCATTGGATCTGGAGTTACAGACAGTTCTGAGTGTTGGGAATTGAACTTGGGTCTTTTTCCTGAGCAGCAAACACTCTTAATTGTGGAGCTCTCCAGCTCCAGGGACTTTTCTAATTGAAGCAGAGGACATATTTACTGTATCTGGATGGAAGGACTATGAAAAGTGTGCTGGGGATTTCCATCTCCCAAGCAGTAGCTGGCTGAGAACTGATTGCTGAGGCTGGAGCCTGACCATTGTGGCCAACATCCAAGAGGAGGGATAGGTTATTTCTCAGGCTCTGGGAAGGCCCAAATCTGGCTAGTGGAAAAGAAACTACGTAGCTGTCTGGAGGAGAGAGTGTCCAGAATAGGAAGGATGGTGGGAAGAGGGGCCCATGGACTGGCTAGAGAATCGAGGACCAGATAAGAAATGGAATAGCATTGACAGGTAAGGGCATCTTTACATACTGAACTTTGGACCACATATGCTGGTCTGGGGAGAGAGCTCCCTAAAGGCGTGTGCCACCACTGCCTGGCTCCGTTTCCAGTGTGGCCTTGAACTCACAGAGATCCAGATGGATCTCTGCCTCCTGAGTGATAGGATTAAGGGTGTGTGCCACCACTGTCTGGCCTCTATGTCTAATCTAGTGGCTGGCTCTGTCCTCCGATCCTCATGCAAGTTTATGAGGGTACACAATATATCACTACAGCACCCCAAATTTGGGCAGCCTGCATCCACAGCGGGTGAAGAACTCTCTTTGGCTAAGATCTATTTCCAGAAGATTCTAAGCAGAACAATTGGACCCTCAGGGAGTGGGGACTCTGTGTCCAGGAAGCCTGGAGAGGGTGAATGAGGAATGAATAGTTGGAGGGAGGCAAATGCGAGATGATGGTGCTGTCCAAGGTACACCAGGACCCTGGGCCCCGTAGTCTACCTATCAGAGAATGGCGCTGGAAGACCCAGTGACCTCAGAGCCTCCCTTCTTTCTCCCTTCATTCTGATCTAGAACAGAGGCTGAGAATTCTTGAGGAGCGGTCTGACTACATGAAGTCTGTTTTACCTGCCAGAGCTCTGCACACTAACCATGAGTCCAGCTATTACCAAGGGGATGGTTGGGCTTCCTGGGGATGACTCCAGTGGACATAGAGGCCCTTAGCCAGGGACAACAAGGCACAAGTACCCCCCCAACCCCACCCACTTCTTGAAGGGGGAGGACTTGGGGGCACAGGAAGGACCTGGAGATTACAGGGGAAGAGGGAGGGCCAGGGCCCTTGCCAGTCAGGGCACCATATGCCACCACTTGAAGGTGAAGGGCTTCCTGCGGACGTTGGTGCCACAGTGCACCTCTCCCAGGAACTTGTGGTAGGCAGAGATGTCGTCAATGAAAGTGCAGGCAAGGCCCAGGGGCTCCAGTAGGCTCCGAACATGTGTCTCCAGGCAGCACTCCTCCTCTATCTGGGGCCCGAAAGGCTTGGGGATGCCCAGGTCCTTGTCCAGCACAATCATGTTCACCTGGGAGGGGAGTGGGTGTTTAGGGAGCAGCCACTGTTTGCCTAGAGGTGTCAAGCCCTCAGATCCCTGTTACTGTCCTATGCGGGAAGTGTTATCAGGATCTTCCTTTAGAGGTGGGGAAACTGAGGCTCGGATTGAGTTAAACCGGGTTTGTGCTGTGACTTTTGTAAAGTACTTGCCTATCTGCTAAAGTAAAGGGTCTGGACACACTTAATGAGAAAGCAAGGTTAAGAATATCGTCACCAACAGGGAATGGAAGACCTCAGAGAGGGCAAGTGCCAGACATGAGGTCACACAGCAACTCAGCTGGGCCTTTCTGGAACTGGCTGCATCCTGCTGGGGGTAGCATAAGCAGGGGCTGGGGCTGGAGGGTCTCACCATGTTAGGGAAGAAAGCCCTGGCCTGGCGGTCTTCATCCATCTTAAACAGAGCGGGCAGGTCAATGATGTCCCTTTCTGTCAGTGCCAGCTCCTTCTTGAGGATGTCACGGTTCCAATCCAGGCAGCGCTGGGGGAGAGGGAGACAGGTAGCATGGAGATTAGGGGAGACATACCTGTCACTTTGCCTGCATTCCAGAGAGATTCCTACTTAGCTGGTGTCCCTAACACCTCTCCAGCATCTCTCCACCAGGGCTAAGGGACAGTAGTAACTTTTTTGTGTGTGTGTGAGATATGGTCTCCCTGTGGAGCCCAGGCTATCCTGAAACTCTCTTTGTAGACCAGGCTGCCCTTGAACTTACAGAGATCTGACTGCCTCTTCGGGCGCTTGGATTAAAAACATGCACCATTATGCCCCCTTAATGGGGCTTGAGGCCCTGCTACAAATGAACAGGAAACACTACACTCCTGCTAATGCCTGCTAGTCCAGCTACCCCCCCCCCCACCAAAGCTCTATTAGCCTAGCGCCCCAACTTAAATTTTACAGTAGAAAATTGCTAGCAGCCGAGCTTGCCTGACAACGGGCAGACTTGACAGTTATGTACCTGACAAACTGTAAAATAAACAGGGTGGAAAACACAGACTGAAGTCCTCAGAGTCCTTGCTGAAAAACAGACAAACTTAAGTGGCAGAGACTCAGGTGACCCTGGAGGGCTGTGTCCCCGATTACTCGGCTAATAAGGAAGATGGGGAGGAGCTGGCCTTGGGATTAAAAGCTCTCTCTGCCGTCAACCACTGCACCTGCCATCTGGGCTTTGCAAAGCTGTAAGATAAACTGCCTGGCTTCCGATACTCGGTCTCCAGAGCTCTTATTACAGAGTGTGGGTGGGTGTGTCTTTGTGTCTCACAGGGATCATGGAGGGATAGTCAGAGGTCAGCATCCAAGCAGCCAATGAGGCGTTGGCACAGCTTCAGTGGGTCCTGTGTAGCTCCCCTGGGACTCTGCTGTCCCCTCGACCCCCACCACACTGCAGAGTGTGGCTGGGTTGTGCCAGATTCTCTGACCTTCTGGTGAGAATTAATTGATAGGCTCTTGCCACGGCTACCCCAGTGATTAGGCCAGGGGTGAACAGTGACTCAGGGTTAGACAAACTGGTGCTTGGAAACTCCCTGTCCACAGTGATCAGTTCAGTTGACCCAAGTCAGAGTGAGATCAAGTTCTTGTTCCAATGCTGTGGGACACCTAAGTCTTCGTAGATGGTGTGCAGTGTCTACGAGAGGCTTTGAACTTCTATAGCCATGAGGGCACCTGCACATACCAATAAACACAGAGCAGGAAGAGCCGGAGCCCTGATCAGCCTGTGCCTGAGATCCACACAACCGCAGGGTTTTGTGTTGGTATAAACTTTAAACAAACTCTGCCCGACTCCAGCCCCTCCCCCTTTTACCACCTTGCTCAACTCTGTTGCCCACTATGACCCACATCCTGGTAGCAAGGGCAAGACAGGTTCCAAAGATAAAACTGCCTTGTCTGGGTTTGCACAGAGCCTCAGAAGCTGCGTTTAACTCCTCACTCCCCAGACTGCCTATATAAACCCCAAGCATCTCCTTCAGCAGATACCCCTTTCCTGCTACGTCTGCCAATCACTGTTTGAAATAAACAGTCCAGTCTGTTGAGACCAGGCTCCAGTCTATTTTCTGTCTCTTTAAATTGCCTCAGAAATCGAACACCTTGAACTTCTTTTCATTTGTGTTTTCTTTTCTTTTCTCTTTTTCTTTTTTTTTTTTTCTTCCAGTTTTTCAAGACAGGGTTTCTCTGTGTAGCTTTGGAGACTGTCCTGGAACTCACTTTGTAAAGCAGGCTGGCCTTGAACTCACAGAGATCCGCCTGGCTCTGCCTCCCGAGTGCTGGGATTAAAGGCGTGCGCCACCACACCCTGCTTTGTTTGTTTTTTCAAGACATGGTTTCTCTACCAATGTGCAACTTTTAAGACTCAGGCACCCAGACTGTCAAGCCCAGATCCAACCCCTCAAAGGTGTGAGGTGCTGAAGCTCCCAAGTGAGGGGTACACTCAGGCCAGCATTGTCCTGGACGGCAAGTCTGAAGCTTTAGTGAGTTTTAAGGGGAGTTCTGTGAGCGCTTGTCTGAGAGAATGCTGGTGCTCTGGACTTGTGCCCACCTTAACGGTTCATTTTCAAAAATGACTCTTGCTAATGCCTGCTAGTCCAGCTACCCCCGACAAACTCTATTAGCCTAGCGCCCCAAGTTAAACTTTACAGTAGAAAATTGCTAGCAGCCGAGCTTGCCTGACAACGGGCAGACTTGCCAGTTATGTACCTGACAAACTGTAAAATAAACAGGGTGGAAAACACAGACTGAAGTCAGCACGATCCTTGCTGCTTTCCCAAGTCTCCTGCTGGGACCTTGAGCCCTCTGTCCCGTCAGTATGTGAACACAGCAAGGAGATCCATCATGGAGGCTCCTCTGGACCAGAAGCCCCAAGCCCCTGACCTTTCTCCACAGAACCAGCACCCCCCACCCCCAGGCAGCCATGTCCCTGTCCCCTCCTGCCCTCCCGCCGCCTGTTCCCGCACCTGGAAGTACTGGTTTTCCTGCGTGAGGCTCTCGTTGGACAGGATCTTGTTGATGGTGATTCGTTTGCTGCTCATGCCCCCCAGGCCTGTGGGGACCAGAGGATGACAGGAAATCTTAGCTAGCGGCTGGGGGTTCCATCTGAGCCACCCAAGGAAGCAGCATACATTTCTCTCTCCATATCCACCATGGCCCTAAGCCAGGAAGGGGGTGTGTGGGGGGTGTTAGGCATCTTGTTCTCTCTGGCAGGAGGAGCAGACACCTGGGTGCCCCATTAGAATGTTAGTAGCTGATCCAATACCGGACCCTGGAGAGAGCCTGCCTTTGACTCCAGCTCCATAGCCTCGAGGTTTTAGTGACACCCAAGTGCCTGCGATTTGTCCTTTGGTCCCACTGCTAGGGATGGAACCCAGGACCTCATATACACTAGATAAGCATTCTGCCATAGAACAACATCTCCCAGGCAAGAAAGCAGTCTTTTGAAAGTTTAATGTGGATTAATTTAGCAGTACCCCTCCCCCTCACTGTGTCCCTATGAGGTACCAGCTGAGGCACAGAGGTTCTGTGAGTCTGAAAATTCCCCTCACGCCGGGCGGTGGTGGCGCATGCCTTTAATCCCAGCACTCAGGAGGCAGAGCTAGGCGGATCTCTGTGAGTTCGAGGCCAGCCTGGGCTACAGAGCGAGAGCCAGGAAAGGTGCAAAGCTACACAGAGAAACCCTGTCTCGAAAAACCAAAAAAAAAAAAAAAAAAAAAAAAAAAAAAAAAAAAGAAAATTCCCTTCACACTACAAGTGGCCACACAGGCAGACTGACTGCAATATATATACATATATATTGGTTTTTTGAGACAGGGTTTCTCTGTGTAGCCTTGGCTGTCCTGGAACTTACTCTGTAGACCAGGCTGCCCTCTAACTCATAAATCTGCCTGCCTTGTATATTTGATTAAGTTTTTTCCTTTTAATTTTTTGTTTATAGAGTCTCTCTATGTAGTGTGGGTTGGCCTGGAACCCACAATCTTCTGCATCAGCCTCCCAGGTGTTAAGATCTGTTATATTTGATTTTTGTTTGATCTAGGAAGAGCATGCCAGCTCTTGGCACATCCCAGACTTGAAGCACCACGGCACCAAAGAGATCAGGGCTATGGGACCTTGCCCCTAGGCTGCCGCCACATCATGGCTCACCTGTATCAGTACCTCTAACCATGGGGTACGTGGGCAGCATTTGAGAGAAATTTAAGATAGAAAAGAAGGTCCTAGAAAGCCAAGCCTCATGCCTGGCAACCCAGGAAGAACTCCCCATCAGGTTGCTAGCACAAAAGGATGGGGGGCTTAAGCGGGTCTATCCTTGACACCAGCAACACTCAGTTGCATTCCTTGGACGAGGAGGATGATAGCATAAGCATTAGCCAGTGGACTTTGAGCAGCAGGATACTAGCCTAAGATGTGGCAAAGAGTCACTTTAAAAAATGCCCAGCGGGACAAAGACCATAGAGGTTATTATTTAACGCTGTAATACATTGGATTCTAAGTGGTGTGTCTATTTTACCACAGTAAGAGAGGGCAGAGGTGCTGTGGCCTCTCTCACCTTGTTGGCTGGCGGGTTTCCCCAGTGGATTCTCTTTCTCATGATTAATTCAAGTGCAAAACTCATCCCCAGGTCTGCCCCACTTAGGAGGGAGATCGAGTCTCTCTCCAGGCCCTGCAGGCACGATGTCAGCTGAAACCACTTCCCTTTCCAACATCAGTGGATTTCTCTCCTCCTCTTTACATTTCTGGGGGAGGGCAGGAGGGGGATGTGGCTTAGCAGTACATGCATGACCATCGAGGGAGGTCCTGGCTTCCATCCCACTGTTTTGAAAACACAAGCTCCTGCGTGCAGATCACATGGCAGTCTGGGGTCCTTTAGTCCCTCTCTAGGTTTGGTGCCCTTTCAAGCACTAGTTCTGAAGACATACTTCACCCTTCTCCCTTTTGGGATGACCTTGAAGTTAGGACCCTTCTGCCTCCACCCCTGGAGAGCTAGGATTACAGGTGAGCACTACCACACTTGGGTCATACACTGCTGGGGATTGAACTCAGGACTTTGTGCATGCTAGGCAAGCACTCTATTAACTGTGCATCCCCAGCGATGCATGATTTTTGGTGGTAGAGCTGGATGCTCAGAGACAAGGTCCTGTTGAGGGCCCCCTGGGGCTTCCAGCTAAGGGCCTATGATCACTCACTGTGGTAGTTTGAATATAATTGGCCCTCATAATATCATAGAGAGTGGCACTATTAGGAGGTGTGGCTTTGTTGGAATGGGTATGGCCTTGTTGGAGGAAGTAGGTTACTGTGGGGGTGGGCTTTGAGGTTTCCTATGCTCAGGATACTGCCCAGTGTGTCAGTTGACTTCCTGTTGCCTGCAAGATGTAGGACTCTCAGTTATACCTGCAGCACTACATCTGCCTGCACACCACCATGTCCCTGTCATGAACCTCTGAAACTGTAAGTGAGTCACCCCAATTAAATGTTTTCTTTATAGGAGTTGTTGTGGTCATGGTGTCTCTTCACAGCAATAAAAACCCTAAGACAGAAGTTGGTACCAGGGACCGGGGTATTGCTGTGATAGGCCTGACCATGCGTTTGTTTGAAGGAATATGGACCTTGGGACTGTGGATTAGAAAAGCAGTTGAATGCTTTAAGTGCTGCTTAATGGGCCAGACTAGTAGGAGCATGGAAGACAGTGGTGCTGAGTGTGATTCCATGAACTGTGGGCTGGCTCAAGAGGTTTCAGAGGAAAGTATTAACATGTGGCCTGGAGATCGTTCTTGTGATATTTTGGTGAAGAAAGTGACTGCTTCTGTCCTGGTCCAAAGAGTTTTCCATTGGCAGAGGAAATCTCAAAAGAGCCTAGTATAGCCTCTGTTTTGTGGTTACTAGTGTTAACTCTAATGAAGATTTATAATGAAAAGGAGCAAGCTGGGCAGGGTAAATTACAAAATGCAAATTTTGAGGGGAAAAGGAGCACCAGGAAGTGGAAGGGAGCTAAGTCTTGAGTTCAAGGAGATAAACGGGTTAAGAGATGGAATAAAGGAACCTCAGGGCAAGATCCCACCCAGCTAAGTTTCCAACTTGTGAAAAGGAACTAAAGAAAAGCTTAGAGTCAGACGTGGTGATGCACACCTTTAATCCCAGCACTGGGAAGGCAGAGGTTGGTAGATCTCTGAGTTTGACACCAACCTGGTCTACAGAGCAAGTTCAAGGACAGCCAAGCTTAGGCAGTGAAGGGAAACAGAAAGCTGGGAAAGACGTAATTAAACAAGGGGGCCATGTTCCAGCCCCAGCAAACAGCAGAACCTGGCAGTTTGGCCATGTGGTTCCGGAGTTAAGGATAGAAGAAAAAAGTTATGGAATAAAGCTGCTGAGGCCAGGCATGTGTCAGAGAGGCCACTGGGTGAAGCTGTGAAGTTGAAGCCTGGATTGCCTTGGAGAACCCAAGATGTTAGAGATGCCAGAGTCGTGGGATACCTGCCGAGGAGAGCTGCTAACAGGGAGTGGATCCAGCCCAAGAGAAAGAAGTGTGTTGCAGCCAACAAAGGTGATCAGAGTTGGAGATCTGCAGAGCATTTTGACATCAGACATGGAGCTGCAGGGTTTGGAGTTTGCCCAGCTGGTTTTTAATCTTGCTTTGGTCCAGTATTTCCTCACTGTGCTCCCTTCCCTATGTATTGGAATGGTAATATATGTCCTATGCCATTATATGTTAGAAGTATGTGATCTGTTTTTTTGTTTTGATTTTATAGGGGATTACAATTAAGAGATTACATGAATCTCAGAAGAGACTTTGAACTTTGGACTTTTAAATGTTGTTGAGACTGTGATAGACTATGGGGACTTTTGAAACTGGACTAAATTCATTTTGCATTATGATATTGTTACAAGCTTATGGGGGCCAGGGAGTGGAATGTGGTAGTTTGAATGTAACTGACCCCCATAACCTCATAGGGAGTGGCACTATTAGGAGGTGTGGCTTTGTTGGAGTGGGTATGGCCTTGGAGGAAGTGCGTCACTGTGGGGGGTGGGCTTTGAGGTTTCCTATGCTCAGGATACTGCCCAGTGTGTCAGTTGACTTCCTGTTTCCTGCAAGACATAGGATTCTCAGCTACACCTGCAGACCACATCTGTCTGCACGCCACCATGTTCTCTGCTGTGATTATAAAGGCCTGAACCTCTGAACTGTAAGTGAGCTACCCCAATTAAATGTTTTCTTTATAAGAGTTGCCATGGTCATGGCATCTCTTCACAGCAACAGAAACCCTAACTAGGACACTCACCCTTGAACATAACGGCCTCCCCATGGCCTTCCTTCTGCTTCTCTCGGAAGAGCTGGTAGCAGGCTGAGGTGCTGGCCATGAGCAGCCGAAATTCCTGCAAGAGACACCCCAGTGGATGGTACTGTCGGGGGGGGGGGTAGCCAGGACGTCAGAGGGACCAGGGCCCTGACTGCAAAGCACTTCATGCCTCCCATGCTGAATGTCTTGGTTTCCTGGGAGGGTCTGTCTGTCTTCAGATTGTGTCTCACATTTCTTCTATCCTGGGCAATAACATCAGGTCAAAGTATGGACCCTCTGCTGGGAAGGCCCGGCAGCACATGGATTCTTGGCTATGCAATTCACTCTAGTCTTGGGGATCAGCTCACCTTTGTGCCTGGGATGGGGACGAAGGTCATAAACTCATCTACGTGGCCTACAGTCAGCCAGTCGGAGTAGAGTTCCACGGGAGCCTGCACCTGCTGGGCCTGCAGGAAGTCTCGCACCACCTTGGTCATCCTCCGGCCTCCGGACCTAGGGCAGGATTGGAGAAGAGGAGACTTTTAGCAGGTTACCCTCGTGGTTATTTCTGCACCAGAGCAGCCCCAGGATGAGACGTTCAGCATCTGGAACCCACACCAGATCTGGGTGTTACCAGCAAGGGCACAGGTGGAAGCCTGAGCTGAGACCCTGGAAGAAGGTACTGGAGCCCCGGGTGGGAAGAGGGCACGTTGGCCACAGTCAAACCGATGTGGAGGGCGTAGAGCTCAGCCTTTGCCCCGGAGTTTGCCAGTGAGCAGCTAAAGTCAGCTTCCATGCTCAGCATGGAACTGACATGTCTGTGACTTTCATTGTTTCCTCTAAGGCAGGGCAAGGGCTCGGTACTCCACTGAGGCACAGGAAGTAGCTGCTGAGCGGATGAGTGACCAGTGGATTAGGGGACGGTGGGCTAATGGTCATTACCCATGTCCCCTAGATAGTAGAACATTCCATGTGGGTCAGAGGGACTTGATACTCAAATCCTGGGTGACCTCAGGTTCCAGGCAGCTCTTCAGAAGTGAGTACCCAAGCTGCTCACTTTCTCCCAGCAACTGTTTAGATCAAGGTAGAATCTGCCTTTCATTGGCTGGGCAGAGAGTACGGTTATTGTGGACAGCCAAAGGAGCCAGGGACTCATGCCTGTGAGGCAGGGCATCCCTTGTCTCTCTTCCCTTTCATTTACAGGCAGCCCCCACTCTCCCACTCTCCTCTGCCAGTGTCCTTCACTAGGCTCCCACGGCCCTGCCCCACCTGACCTACGTCTCACTATACACCTTCCCATTTGTGGAAGACAATTATTGGATTGCATATTAGGTCTTAATTTATACTGAGGTGTAAAGGCTGACTTGGCTTTCTTTCCATCGGCGTCTACTGATTTACAGTGCACTGCATCAGGGGATCTGTCCCCCTTACATTCACTCTAGGCACATACACTCCAGGCCACTCCTAAAGAGACAGTCGTGCTCCTGTGCCTGCCACCCCCAGGCCCACCCCGGGTTATCTTACAGAGGGAAACTGCTCCCGATGAGGATCCGGCCAAGAGGGTATGTCTTGCCATTCACCGTCACGGGGGGGCTGACCTCCAGATTCCCAAAGGAGTCGAGGCTGGTGACATTCTCAAAGAGGGGCTCCCGGGTCACATAGCCGAAATCTGGGCCCTGGGCAGAGAGAGAGGGGGCACATCGGCCTTTAGCCTCCTACAGCCGGGAGCCCTCTTCCTCAGCAGCCATTCTACGGTGACACTCTGTGCCACCTGCAGTCTGGCGCTCTGGGTTCTCAGCCTCAAGGACGGCTGTTACCTGAGGCTAGCTTATTGCCATTGGGGAGTCTGTGAGCACACTGACACAGTGAGGGAGTCAGTGTGGGTGTGATGTGTGTGCACCCCATCTCAGCCTGGGCTCTGCCCCCTAGGCACAGGCACACAATGTGATATCAAGATCTGGCCTCACCCTGGCCATCTCAGAATTTCCCTGGCCCTCGGTTTCCATCTCTGTGAGAGGGGTTTCCAACCAGGAGGCCAGAGGTGAACGGATTATCCCCAGGGATTTGCTAGACTTGCCCAGAGAGTGAACTGTGCATCCGAACCCACTATGAATGACTTCTGGCATCTCCCTGCCAGGAACTGGATTTTAAGATTCCATATATGTGTGTGTGTGTGTATATATATATATATATATATATATATATATATATATATATATATTCTTTTTTTTTGATAAAAATGTAAAGATCTTCTTTGGGAGTTTGTACTAGAGCAGGGAGTAACTTGCTTGACTCAAAAAACCAAACCAACCAACAGAAAGACCCTGTGTGGTAGGCAGCCATGGTTTACTCAGCCTCAGCTAAGAGGCCCCGGGACAGGCGCGCCTGGTGGGGTGGATGGCAGCAGCTTAGCGCTTTCTCGCCTGGGGGCCCTTGTTGGCCATGTGTGAGCTGGCCACAGGTGGCAGCTGGGGCTTTACAGCATCACACAGGGCGGCAGGCACGCAGCACAAAGCCGGGCCTGGCCCGGCCTCTGGGAACAATGCAGCCGGGCCTTGGCACCAGGCCAGCCTGGAGCACTGAAGACAGATGGAGCCCAGGGAAGAGAAAGGACAGGGCAGGGAGCTTGGTTCTTATTCCCGCTGCCTATGGTAGTCCTGGGGTGGTCAATTTGATGGCCCTGTCCCCCAGGGTCAGGGAAAATGGACAGTACCCACATGGAGGGCGACTGAGGGCTGTCTACAGGCTGGGGCAATGAACAGGACCATGATGGCCGCTGATGAGGCATAGTGCCCATGCGTTCTGCATGCCTCAATTGAGTAACAATCTTGGCGACATCTCCCTGTTTTACAGAAGCGCACTGAGGCTTATGAAAGTTCAGAAGCCTGCCCAAGGTTCCCTTTCTGCTATGGGGGTGCTGTTCAAGACCAGGTTCCTCTGTCATCCCAGAGTGGGGCTCACATGCTGCTTCTGCCTCCTCTCCAGAGAAGACTTGGGAAGGGTCACCTCTGAATGGCCTGACATCTACAGCAGGATCTGTCCTACACGTGACTGTGGGAAAGCCAGATCTGCCGGTGTCTCTGTAACATGCTCCACACTGGCTTCCGGCTCAGTGTGAAGAGTGAGGACGCAGAGAGGCGTATTTCAGTCCTCCACATGGCTTGGAGGCCACAAGTGGGGACGACAATGGCTTCCTGGGATGGGAAGGAGCCAAACTGCTTTAATAAACCCCATGACACTGAGAGTCACATCCACAGAGTTCCGATGAGCGGTGACATCTATAGACTTCTGCCTTGCCTTTTTTGAAGCTTACTTAGCTGCAGTTTAGAGATGGCTTTGGACCTCAGGGCCCACTGTCCCATCTTGCAGATGAGAAAACAGAGGCCCCGAGTGGAAGACTAGCTATTCTCGTGTGCCCCACATGACCTGACTGTGCTGTCCTCTATCCCCACTGTCACCCCCAGGTGACCCTCAGCATCTCACCAGGAGCTGCTTAATAGGGAAGTCCTTCAGATTTCCATCTCGAGGGGAGTCCAGCACCACTGGGAAGCCTTTGTGGGGTGCCTCAATGTAGCCAAACTCGATTTCATCCTGTGGAATAGAATAAGGAGGGCTTTCAGCTGTAGTGGTACCTAGGGGTGTCTGGAGCAGGATGGATGGGGGTGCAATCCCAGATCTCAGGAGGCAGAGGAGGAGGCTGGAGAATATGAGGCCAGCCTAGGCTACATAGGAGGAGGCTGGAGAGTATGAGGCCAGCCTGGGCTACATATTGAGACCCTGGTATAACCCAGGCGGTAGAGTGCTTGGCTAACACACATGAAGTCCTGGGTTCAAGCACCATTGCTACATACATCGAGCATGGTGGCACATGCCCGTGTAATCCTAGCACTTGGGAGGTGAATGCAGGAGGATCAGAATTTCGAGGTCATTCTCTATGACACGGTGAGTTCGAGGCCAGCCTGGGATACGGGAGACCTTGTTACAGAACAAACCAACATAAAAAGCACAAACAAACTAGGCATGGCTGCATACCCCTGTAATCAGAGCTCAGAAGGCCGAGGCCAGGAGCCTGAGAGTGTAAGGCCAGCCTGGGCTACATGGTGAGAACCTGGCTCACAAATGAAAACAAAAGAGAGCCAGTGAGATGGCTCAGCTGGTAAAGGATCTCACTGCCAAGCCCGATGACGTGAGTTTGATGCCCCGACCCACACGATGGAAGGAGAGGACTAACTGCTCCAAGCTGCCCTCTGACCTCCTCCACGTGTAGGTTGTGATGTGTGCACCATCCCCAGCGAATCAATGTAATGAGAAGATTTAACACAAAATGAGCACACTTGAGCCCAGCTTGGGAAGTGTGAATCGTTCACCGCCTGCCTCCAGTCCCCAACTCTCCTCCTAACAAGCAAATGATGGCAGGGCATCTTTCCACGGATTGCCCCTCGCAAAAGTCACACAACAATCGCTTAGTGACACCAACCTCATTTAAAAAACATAAACAGCTGTATCGTAAACATATTTCCTTCCAAGTAGCAACTCAAGCGTATTCTGTGTCTTTAGTCACAGACTGGCCTTTTTCTTTTTAATTGCCACATAGTACTCCCCGTGAGGGTATCACCAGCCTCAAAGGATGGATACAGATGGTTTCAGTCTAGGCCTCCACTAGAAGCCACACCTATTCTCGCAAGTCTCTGTGCACATGAGCAGACAGGAATCCACACACACGCAGGCAGCTGGGTACCAGGGTGCACACAGCAAGCCTCTTTGGGCCAGAGCCCTTGCTGTGTCTTTCCCGTGGGCCCGGGCCCCTCTCACCTGGATCCAGCGGTCTCCGCGATTCATGTACTGGAAACAGACTTTCAGTTCACAGTTGGTCTTCTCCACCAGGTTCTTCACCTCTTTCAGGAACAGGTAATTGTCCTTCATGCTGAGGAGCATCAGGAAGAGGCCGAGAGGAAGAGTGAGGGGGAGCAAGTGCCGCCCATCTTGGGTGGTCACAGCCGCTGGCACTCTGGACTGAGTTGTGGTGATGAAGGCCCGTCTGTGTCCACAGCCACTTTGTAAAGCCTGCTGGGGCCATGGGCCACGGAACCCCACCCACTTACGCAGTTTTTATCAAGGTCACACGGATATAAGACAAGGGAGGGACCTACTACCCACACATGCTCTCTGACTCCCCAGATTTTAGACAGTGCTATGCCTGGGATGTGGGAGAGCCTGACATGAAGGTTAAGGGTGGGCAGAGGGTCCCTTCTGGAGCTGTCAGTCATACACTTTAGCTGCTTCTTGCCCTTCCTGCTCGTCTTGCTGTGCTAACCAAGCACACGTTACACACTCAATAGACACCTGCTGGAGCAGTGAGCAAAATGAGCTGGGAACCTAGCCCCACACAGCAGAGGCTGAGAGGGAGAGGAGAAGGGAGAGACATGGTGGCCTTTGCGGCACACAGCCTGAGCCAGGATACGCCGACAGATGCAGAGGCGTCATCTCGATCCTCCCAGCAAGCCTGTGGTATGTGCATTTCAGAGAAACTGAGGCACAGAGAGACCACGAGAACTGCTGCAGGTCATACAGCTGCTCAGTGGCAGAGACGGGAATTGGATTTAGGTCCGTCTGACCCTGAAGGCCAGTGCTTGACCACTTTGCCACACTGCCCTGTGGACCATGCCTGTCCCTTACCAGCACACAAACACCGAGACGGGAGGCAGAATGTTGGGGGTCATAATCCACGGTGCAATCCGGAACATCACCGAGTCTGTGAAGATGGGTGTCAATGGGATGCCCTGGGTGTGGGAGAAGAGGAGCACTGGTGAGCCACATTGGGGTACTTGTGGTCCCCGACTCCCTCTCAGTGGGTGAGACCGACAACAATGCATTTACTGAGCACTTACTGTATGCTAGGAACTGTGACAAGTATTGTTTTTATGTGTATGTGTGGGTTTGTGTTTCTGTGTGTGTACGTGCATGTGTGTGTAATGCCCACGATGGCCAGAAGAGAGCATCAGATTCCCCTAGAGCCAGAGTTACACGCAGTTGTAAGCTGTCCATCACGTGGGTGCTGGGGAATGAACTCCACTCTTCTGGAAGAGCAGCTAAGTGCTCTTAATTGCTAAGCCATCTCTCCAGTTCCATATACCAAGTATTGTTGCCTGTACCAATTCATTCCCAGGAGACAGATGCTACTGGAATCCTTACTTTTCAGATCGGGAGACTAAGAATTGTAAAGTCACATGGTTAGAAAGGCCTCTTTCCTATCCTTCACTCACACTCTGCCCCATCGCAGTTACCAGGTCTGAGCCAGGGGCATGGCTGCACAGGGGAGGCCCGTGGCTCTCACCTCGGCCATATACTCCAGCAGACTGACGTGGATGGAGACCAGGCCTGAGAAGCTCTCATCGGGGAAACGGAGACCTTCCACGAAGAACAGCAACTCCGCAGAACCACCTGTATACTTCACCACGTGGTAGAGCTTCTGCCGCCCCAGGATGTGGATGTAGCGCTGGCCGAAGAATGGGTCTGCAGGGGGTGGGCCCGTGTTAGCACCCTCTCCCTTCAGGAGGTCAGGGAGCTCTCTGATGGGGGAAGGGGCAGGGTGACTTGTCCGTTAGACACAGAGAAACGCACAAGTGGAAAGTAGCACAGGATGGTGCAAACTGGTCATTGTCATAGTCTGGGAGGCTGTGTGGCCAGCTGGCTTCTGGCTTCCTCATCTGGAAAATGAGCTGTTTGGGGAATGAGGGTAGATGGGAACGGCATGGCTAGCATAGCAGTAGGGAGGTGTTATTCCCATTTTACAGAGGAGGAAATGGGCTCAGCAATGGCTCGGTAGGGCCTCCAATCCATGTCTAATTTCAAATGCCAAGTTCCTATTCTCTTTGTATGAATAGAACACCAGTGTGCCATTTGTTTGAGAAATTCTACTCTGTATTGTGGATGTTCCACTGTGTGGGTCTTGGGTAGGAAGGAAGAAACTACTGCCCTATGAAACTCTCAGCCCTTTACAGTGCTATTCCCTTTTCCTGGAAGACTGGTGTCCTTTACCCTTTCAGGGAGTCCTTTGTGGATTCCCAGAGAGCAAGCCAGGGTCCATGTAGACCTTCCGAATCGCAGCCTGTACAAATGCATGCTGCTAGGTGAGAGACAGCCCTGCCAGGCCATCTGCCTGTCTGGCATGTGGTCACGTTTAATAAAACGTCCACTGAATGAAGCAATGGCTCCCATCAGTCCCTGTGGGAGAGGCCCACGTGGGATTCCAGGGCTGGCCCATGAATCGAATTACTTGGGCCAGCATGAGCAAACACCTTCAGGGAGTCAAAAGTCACAGTGCAGCCTCTGTGTCTAAGAGTGATGCTCAGCTGATGATAAGACAGCGGATGTGGGGAGCATCTAACGGCAGTGTCACGGTGGAGATCTTGTCTGTTACTCAGGGCGGGGAAGGGCAGAGAGACAGGGGAGACTTCTGAGCAGAGAGAAGTGGCTTTGAGACGCCCCGGTGGGGCAACAGGGTGGCTGTAAGGATGTAGAGGGAAAGAGATACTTGCATTGGCAAAGGCCTGGAGATAGGACCCTACACAGTTCCCGAAGCACCTTCTTTAGGCCCTGCAAAGCTGGAAGGGCAGATCAGGCTCAGCTTAGCACTTTCAACGACAATACATTGGTTAATGACCAGCGGACCAAGGGTTAGAACATGGATCAGGACCATTCCCAATATACAGGGCTAAAATCTGTCAAGTCCAATGCATCCCAAAACGCAGGCTTGAGACAGCACCTGCTTTAGGACCGTGTGCTCACTGGGACCCTGATTATGAGTGGCACCATGAACAGGTGACCTTCCTGACTTCCCAAGTCAGGTCAGGCATCAGCTGGACTCGGCAAGTTACAAACCTTCTGTGAACTCCATTAACCTATCAAACAGATGACTCAGTTGCTAACTGGGGGACAGCAGTCCCTGTCTTATAGGGTCATTACAGACGACACAGCATCAGTGGCTTCAGTAACCTTGGGGACGCGGGTAACACAGCTGGGACCGAAGGGTCCTGGGAGGAGAAGCCGGGTGTGCCTAGTGTGCCACTCACTGTCACTCACCACTTTGCCATCCAATGCCTTCCAGATGGGAGGCACAGAAGTGGCATTTCAGCCTCCCGGTGGTGGGGCTGAGCGTTGAGATGCATAACCCTGACCCTGCAGGTCCCAAGCACCCTATCAGCATGGAAGGTGATGTCCTTCTCACCCCAAACTGCCAGCAGGTGCCCTGGGACCCAGGCTCTGCTCGGATCCAGTTGGATGTGTATCTATAGTGGCTCCCCTTCCCTACCCACAATATTCACACGACACAGGCTGTACCTCCGCTGATCTCATGGGAGGAATGTCAATCATAGAAGCCACCCTGATTTTACAGAAGCTATAGCTATTGAGTTTACCTAGGCTCTCATGGGTAGAGGGAGGCAGGTCTGGCGGGAGGATGCATTCTGCACAGTGCCTGGCAGCTGGCGCCTTTCTCTTCCCCATGTAGCCTATGCCTTGTGATTCACAATGCGTCTCTATTTGGGGCTGCTTTCTGGCAGTTAGCGCCAGCGCCAGGCAGATTGAATTTCATGCAGGAACAACACAACCCTTGTTTCAAAGAGCCTCCATCGCTGTTCAGGATCTCCAGCTTGGTCCAGATCCCACCACCCCCGGCATGGCTGGCTGTCCTTGCAAGTGCCAACAATGCACTTCTATTGAGTGGCCCCCGCAGCCTTGTGCTGGACCTGCCAGCACCCCTAGCCTCTCCTGAGCTCCAGTCATCTGCCCTGGCTGGCCAGCGCATGGCCTGGTTTGGCACAACCTTTCCAGTGGCAAAGAGACGGATAGTGTAACCGTCGGTCTCGGCTTGCCTGTGATGGAAGGGTGTCTTGGCATGACCGACCTCCAGTGCTAAAAACCAGGGAGGTGCTGGACAAATGGGGGCAGGTTGTTTACTGTGTCCTTGGGGGAGAAGGTAAGTCTCCAGTTTGGGGGGTCCTGGGGAGAGTAAGTTTCTAGGTCCTCCAAGGAACACTGGAGAATTCTGTCATAATAATTACCAGTTCGTATCATTCCAGCCAAAGCAATAGCTACTGTTTTACAGAGCTTTCCATGGGCCAGCACGACAGCGGAGACCCCAGTGCAGTCCATCCCACACCACAGAGGGGCCCTCAGGGATCCCAGAGCCTGGCTCCTGACATTGTGGGGAACTGGACTGTCTGTCTCTCCTAGGACACAGGTCATGACACTGAAGTAACATGACACATTACACACAAGGTACTCAGATTCTGACCAAATCCCCCATCGGCTCACATGAAAGAAAAGGATATTGGACTAAAGAATAAGATTAATTGTCCCTTTTGCTGGGCCCTGGTGACTCAGAGTATTCCCCTGGGCGACTGTCTATTTGATACAATGTAGCCTCCCTTGAGAAGGGAAGTCTCAATGAGGAACTGTCTAGATCGGCCTGTGAGTATTGCCTGTGGACGGTTTTTCTTAATTGGTTAACTGAGGTGAGTTAACGTGTGTGGCAGGCACCGTTTCATGGACTGGACCCTGGACTGAATGAAAAGAAGAATGAGCTAAGCTGCCACTGCGGCCTCCCTGCTATGATGGGCAGTAACCTGGAACGGTGAGATGGATAAATAATAAACCCTTTTTCTTCTAAACTGTTTTTACCAGAGTATTTTATCACAGAAGCAGAAATGCAACCCAGACACCTGGAGTTCATATCTAGAGGGAAACTGACTAGGGAGGTGGTCCCTGACCCAGCAGCCACCCTCCCTATAGGACGGTGGTCCAGCTAAGACATCCAGGGGGATCCTCTCTGCCCACTTGCGGTGGGAGCTTTCTTGCCTGCTCAGGACCCATCTCAATGATCAGTGAAGTGGAGAGGTGAGAATGGACCCAGGCCTGAGTATACCCCAGTTAGCAAAGCAAAGAAGCATCTAGAGAATGCCCGGATGTCGTTATCAGCCACAGGTCAATGCCAAGGCTGAGTCCAAGTCCAGACTGGGTCCTCCTAGTTCCCTTCTGCCGTTGGGCGACTCTCATCTGGACCATGCAAGTATCAACTTCTCAGCCCCCTGGGGCTGCAGAGCCAGCCTGACTTCAACCATCTGTCAGAGCCCAGAGAGGAGCATCATAGGGCTCTGTCCACTAGTGTCCCAGCTAAGTCCCTCCTTGAAGTGAGGGTCCTGTCTGTTTCTAGTGGATTTGTCCAGAAGGGGTCCCAGGGTGAGGCCCAAGGCTCTGGCCTTCAGACAGGAGGTCCCATAACACCTGACAAACTTCAGGATGCTTTACAGAGGGACTCTTCGCATGGGTAGAAAATCTTAACAGTTCTGCCCCAACCCCCCTGGGGGCTGGGGATGCGCTCAGGTGTAGAGTGCTTGCTCAGTGTGTACCAGGCTCTGGTTAGATCCTCAACACCACATAACGGGGCATGATGGTGGCATGTGGCTTTAATCCCAGCACTTGGGAGATGGCCGCAGGAGGGTCAGATGGTCAAGGTCATCCTCCCTTCCCTACATACGGAGTTAGAGACCATGGAACCCTATCTTAACAAACAAACAAAACCAAAACCTCTTAGGTGACTCTCCGATGCACTAAGAATAAAACACAAACTGTGTCTTCGCTCTGACCTGACTCTCTAAGCATCCACCCATCTCTCTTCCTGCTGCCCAGCCTGGTCTTTCTGTTTCTCTGAAGCACTGAACCAGCCCCCTCTTCTGAGCTTGCTGTACATGATGCCCACTCCTTAGCTTGCTCCTCCCCAGCTCCTCCCAGCTCCTCCCAGCTCCTCCCAGCTCCTCCCAGCTCCTCCCAGCTCCTCCCCAGCTCCTCGCAGCTCCTCCCCAGGTCCTTCTCGTTGTTTCCTTTGAGTCTCATCTCAAATGTTACTCCCCACAGAAGCCTCTCTCGACCACCTAACCAACTCAGCCTCTGTGCTAATGCTTCCTGGGTCTTGATCTGTCCCATTTCTTCTGACATGTTTTCCTCACTCAGGGGAGGCTCCCCTAGGGCAGAGGGAGTGAGGGGACAGTTATGTTTACTGTATTGGCACACAGGTGACTCTATAGCATAAGAAGATTAGATGAATATCATCCAAGCTCCAAGATGAATAGAGTATGGTTCATACATAGTGGCACCCAGGACACCCTGTCACCACTAAGAGGAAGAAGGGCAGACATGGTATCATCTCCAGGGACATTTGAGAGTCAGAAATGCCAGACAATACCTGGAGGAAGTATATATCTGGCCTTAGGTATCATGAAGGCAACAGGACCCTGACTTCAAAGGCCCTTCCTCCCCTGGTCCCTGAGAGAAGTATGTGGACACAGGCCATTGAATCTCCCTGGGGGAGGAGAGATGTGTATCTGTGTGTCACTCCATGGGCTCCACAGCCCTGGGCACCTGTGCAGAGAGAAGGGCAGTGGCCGCAAGGGCTCTGGGTGGGCGGGTGGGGCAATGACCACTCACTCTCCACGTAGAACACGCCCACTTTGTCCGAGTCTGACATGGAAATGTAGAGGACTATTTCATAGCCGGCGGGCAGGCGGTCAGGGCCTTTGGTCCGCAGGATCATCTGAGACATGTCCTTGAGGTCTGTGGGTAGATAAAGGAGGTAGGGGGAGGGCCTGTGAGAGCGGGTCTCACCATTGCTTTTACTCTTCCCACCAGGACAAGGCCCCTCCCTCATGCATGCATCATGGGAACTACCCAGAAGCCTAAGGGAAAGGAACTTATCTCCTGCCTGGGAGAACTGGTCAACCCTTTGGGAATTTCCTTTTCTCTAGTCTTTTTTCTCATATGTAGACCAGGCTGGCCTTGAACTTATAGTAATCTGCCTGTCTCATTTGTGTGTGTGTGTGTGTGTGTATGTGTGTGTGTGTGTGTGTGTGTGTGTGTGTGTGTGTGTATGTGTGTGTGTGTTTGTGTGTGTGTGTGTGAGTGTGTATGTATAGGTCAGAGAACAGCTTGCGGGAGTCTATTCTCGCTCTTTATCATGTGGGTTCTAGGAACTGAATTCAAGTCGTCTGGCTTGGTGGCAAGTGACTTTACCTGCTGAGCCATCTTGCTGGCCCCTCCAGGTTTTCCTCTACCCATGCATGTAAAGGTGCAGTTGAACTGTATTTACAGTCATGACTTCTGAGCATTGAACATCTGAATCATTATCTCCTGCCTCGCCCTCTGCCCTGCCCGGGGCAGGACACACATGTTCCCACTGTCCCCCATGTGGCCCCACTGGCACCTTGCTTGCTGTAGACCTTTTCATCACTACAGTCCTCCTTGGGCAACCAGGGCGTGTCTCGGTCACAGTTCACCAGCAGGATGGCCCCCTGGCCCTCAGGACCCCAGGTCCAGGATGCCTGTAACAACAGGGACACAGATCAATGCCTTCCCTGGTTCCATCCAAGTACAGCTTCTGAGGGATAATGAGGGATAGATGTGGTGAAGAGTACCCACTGGGCCAGCAGCTGGGACCTGGAAGGCTTGAAGTGCCCAGAAAGGACTCATATGATCACCCAAGTTCAAGAGGGGAGAGACAGGAAGGCTGAAGAGGGCATGTGGGCCTCAGCTCTGGTGTGAGTTGACCATGCCTGGCAGAGATGGTGGCAGGAACTGACATTCTAGGACAGGCTTGAGGTGACTGATTCCAGACACGCTCTGAGCGCTCCCAAGGGGGCTGCCACCTTACTCTGCTTTCTGTCCTGTGGCCACAGTACCCGGAACAGACTCCAACTGGAGCATGCTGCTTCCCTGTTTGAAGCCCTCACCGTTGACTCAGATAAAGCCTGGAATCTCTGATCTTCCATGAGGCTGGTGAGACCTGTGGCCTCTGCATCCGGTCTCTTCTACCCACATGAATGTCCTTCTGTACCGTCGAAACTCCTAGATCTTTGCCCTGCTGGTCCCTCTTTCCCAGTCAACTCCACCCTTCTTCTTAGACTCAGGGCACCTGGCCCTCCTTGAAGGAGCATTTCTGGTCCCCAGGGCAGCTGCCCTGCTCTGTCCATGGTCCTTTCTTGATATGTTCTTCCAGGTCATAGGATGGTTACAATGGAGTCACCTACACCATTCTTCCTTGAACTTTGGTCTCTCTAGGTTTTTGTTGCTCCTGGGGCCTGACCTAGTCCTAGACTATAAGAGATAAATTTCTTGTTTTGAGACAGGGTCTCACATAGCTCAGGCTGGCCTGTAATTCACCATGTAGCAGAGGATGGCCTTGAACTCCTCCTGCTCTTCCTGCCTCTACCTCCTGAGATCTGGGATTCTGGCATGCATTACCATTACTAGCTAATATAAAAGATATCTGTAGGGTGGGCAAAGGCATTGTGACAATGTCACTGGTCCAGGTATGGAAATTCTCACTAATTCAGGTCTACAGGGGCTGGATGACTTTGCCGTGATTGTCCCAGTATTGATGCCGGGGATCAGACCAGGGTTTCCTGCATTCAAGGGAAGTACTCCGTCAACTGAGGTACAGTCTCAGCTTCCTGAGGATTTTGGGCAGGATTGTCAAGACCTACCGTCTGTTTTTAAGAGCTCTCTCTTAAAAGACAGGATCTGTTCAGGTTGGCCATGAACTCCCAATCCTCTTGTCTCTACCCGCTGAGTGCTGAGATGACAGGTATGGGCCACCTCTCTCAGCCTCCTTTAACTTTATTTGTTTGGATTTTTGAGTCAGGGTCTCACTATATATCCTTGGCTGGCCTAGAACTCTCTACGTAGACCAGGCCTGCCTCTGCCTCCCGAGTGCTGGGATTAAGGGTGTGTGCTACTACAACTCCTTACCCCTTTAATTTTAAAAGAAGAGGCCTAAGGGGAACAAATGCCTTCCCTGGGTGGCCTCTGTCTCAGATGCACTGATTCTTCAGATGCTCTGTGACCTGTGCCGGGGAAGCCGACCCTACCGTGAGCCTGGCTTGTCTGTGGCCCATCCCTGCTGGGTTGCATCTGCACCCAGCTTCCGGCCCTGTGAAGTGGCAGCTGACTGCTTTGGTGGACAGCTCTGACCATATGCACTGTGCAGTCCCTGCAATGCCCTGGAAGTCCCCCCATGTTAGGTGCCCTGGAAGTCCCCCCATGTTAAGGTTGGGACAGCTTCCACCCTCAAGGCCAGTAACCTTCTTAGGGTTGTTCCTCTCCACCTCGCCATCCCGGTCCGCGTCCACATCCAGCGAGATCTCTGCAGGCAAGAGATGAGAGTGAGTTGATGAGTTGAAGAGCCAGTCAGATAATGTGAGGTTGGAGGAGTCCAGTGGGAAACAGGGCAGCTCCCCTCCCCGCCCATTCACTTGGTTGCTGGGAGAGGGCCTTGCCGAGGTCATCATCTCCCACCCTGCTTACATGCTACCACCTCTGGGGAACCTCAGCAGACACATAAAGCTTTGGAAATGGACAGGTCCCTGCAAACCCTGGTGGGGGTGGGAGGCCGATCCTCACTGTACATGTGTGAGAGACACACATGTCCAAGGTCACAAGGTGGTATTAGTAGAATCAGGGGGTCACTATATTTCAGATCCCCTGTCTGTCTGTCTATCTGCCTGGGTTCCTGTCTCGGGCTTTCTCTCTTTTTCCTCTCTCCTCATTTTATTTGTTGAGAAGAAGTCATGTCTCTAGCTCCTGTCCATCTAAGGAGCCTGTGACGCCAGCTTCAGATAGGTGATCCAGGGCAGGGTCCCTGCTGACCCTTTCTCTTGGGGACCTTCAGCATTCCAGAACCTCTCATGGGGAGGCTCTGTGGAGCCTGTGGGGGCAGAGAGAAAGTTCAACATGAGGTGGTCTTAGGTTGGAACTCTGGTTCTCTGGTCAGGAGCTGTGTGACTTGGGCAGGTTCCACCTCTCTCAGCTCCTATTTCCTCACATGCAGCCTGGGGTTCTGGGTTAGCAGTTGTACTAACAGAAACAGCCAGAACTACTGACTTTCAGAGCCACATCACTCCATGTGTGGGGCTGTTCTGGGTTCAGGGTGTTTAGTGGTACCCCTGGTCACCACCTGCAAGATGCCAGTAACATTTCTCATGCCTCCAGCTGCTGTCGAGCAGCCCGGGGAGGTAAAACTGGAGGGAGGTAAAAATGGGGTGTTGCTGGGGAGGTAGGGGGGAGCACACCCAGCATGAGATATGCTGTTTCCAGGCCCTGAGCTGCCCCAGTAAGCTTGCTCATGCTAACTATGACTTCAATCATAGCAGAAGCTGGGTGGAAAGGAATGCACCCCAGCCAGTCCCTTTGGGGGCATCTTTGGGTGGAAGGAGGGTCCTGACACAGGGGGGGTCCTGATGGTACCCACCCCCAGCTGCACCAGCCCAACAGGGTCCAGAGTTACATTCCGGTGCCTCTTCTGTCCACAGTTCAATTCCCACTGACCCGACTATGGCGTTTGTGGGTGCAGAAGGAAATGGAAGATCACGAGGTACCGGGAAGAGGCACTTTCTGGTTTCTCATGCTCCCGGACCTGCCATGAGCCCCGTACTACAAGGCATCCCACTGATGACGATGGCTCCCACTGATGAGGCGCCCCACTGGAGTACCTGCTGCAACTCAGCTCTGGGCGAGTGACACACAGCAGCTGTCGAGCCCCGTACTACAAGGCATCCCACTGATGACGATGGCTCCCACTGATGAGGCGCCCCACTGGAGTACCTGCTGCAACTCAGCTCTGGGCGACTGACACACAGCAGCTGTCTCCAGGAGCCTGTGGCCCCGGAGAGAAATACAATCCCACCCGTTTCATAAAGGAATAAACTCAGGCTTTGTAAAGCCACTCAGCAGCCACCTACATGGCTCATGGTGAGGCTGGAGCTGGCAGAGGATTCCAGTGCAGAGGTGAGGCCCTCTAACCGCAGTGAGAGGCTGAGGTGCAGGGACAATGTTGACTTTGGCTCCCAACTTCACCAGCTTTTAAGCCCGCCACACCCCACTCCATGAACACAGTGCTCTGCCAACTGCAGACACTCTCCAGGGCTGTTCTCCCTCTGAGAGCTCCAGGAAGGAGACCCACACTGCCACACAAACCAGGAGTCTGAGGCCACCCAGCAGGGAGGTGACACTGCACATACCCGAGTTCTTAGAGTGCAGGGTGGTCCTGACTCCAGACATCTGTTCTCTGCTACTCCCCTCACTGGTCCAGTTGACCCCTGGCTGCCCCAGGCTGACATCATACCTGGACAGTGTCCAAAAGCCATTCTCATTTGCTCCCCTGAAGGTCACAGGCCACATCCTCACAGTGGAGCCCTGTGGCTTCATTTCTAGGCCACAAGGGAACATTGAAGTTCCTTATGGTGGGTCTCCTGTGTCTCCCATGCAGGAGGTCATGAGAGATGATGTAGTACTTCAGGCCATACTGAAGGAAGGCTCTCTCTCTCTCTCTCTCTCTCTCTCTCTCTCTCTCTCTCTGACTCTGTGTGTGTCTGTGTTGGGAACAGGGTATGAGCAGCTTCTCTCTCTCTCTCTCTCTCTCTCTCTCTCTCTCTCTCTCTCTCCCTCTCTCCCTCTTTCTTTTTGCTTGTTTTTGTAGCCCTGGCTTGCCTGGCCTGAAACTCATTATGTAGACCAGGCTGGCCCAGAAGTTGCTATGTAGACCAGACTGGGTGCTGGGAATTTAACCAGGATTCTCTGAAAGAACGGCCAGTGCTCTAAACTGCTGAGCCATCTTTCTAGCTCCTATCTCCCTTTCTGATAGGGTCTGGCTATGTAGCCCAGGGTAGCATTCAACCCTCCATCCTCCTGTCTCAGTACTTCTGAGTACTGGGATTGCAGATGTGCCCCATTAAGTCCAGTTGAAATGAATCATTAACTTAAAAAATTTTAAATACACACACACACACACACACACACACACACACACACACACACACACACACACACACACAGAAACCAGAGGACAACTTTTAGGAGTTAGGAGTCTCTCCTAACAGGTGAGTCTCAGGGACCAAAGTTAGGTTGTCACGCTTGATGGCCAGCATCCTTGTCTGCTGAGCCATCTTTCCAGCCCCTTTGAGCTCTGGGCTCACAAGCACTGGGCAGGTGCTCTACGCCCCATTCCCCAGCTCTGTCCCTAGCATTAAGATCTTTATCAGAGTGGTACTTAACTTGTCACAAAGAGATCAATCAAACAGCTACAATCACTTCAGGGCAGTAGTAATCACCTCCCTATAGTCTCCTCACCTCCCTCATGCCACAAAAGGCTTCTTGCTGCTTCCTGAGCTCGCTTGCTCTCTCTCTCTCTCTCTCTCTCTCTCTCTCTCTCTCTCTCTCTCTCTCTCTCTCTCTCTCTCTCTCCCCTTCCCTTCCTTCTTTCCTTCCTTCCCTCCCTCCCTCCTTCCTTCTTTCTTCTTTTTCCTTTTTTTCTCCCCTGAAACGGAGTCTCACTATGTAGCTCTGGCTGTCCTGGAACTCGCTCTGTAGACCAGACTGGCCTTGAACTCACGGAGATCTGCCTGCCTCTGCCTCCTGAGTGCTGGGATTAAAGATGTGAGCCACCACACCCAGCCTGTCTCCTGATTGGTTACTCTCTGAAGGCTCTGCCACCTTCCCATTATGAAATGTGTGCTTGCGTGGTCTCGCTCTCGGCCACCTCCTCTCCATCTTCCACAGGATTTCTCAGTTCTCTTAGGACCTGTTACTGTCCCCACAACTGACTTCTCCACTGCCCTCCAGTCTCCTTAGCTACCAGCTCTCCCCTGGATCTTCTCTCTGGCTCTGATGGGGCCTTGTCCATAGACCAAGAAGGAGAGGCTGGAACAGCCCTTCTGAGCTCTGCCCTCCCCAGGGGGAGGGGAACACACCTGTTTCACAGCTTCTGGACTCCAGACATTTCCCAGAGGCTCTGGGTCCTGCCTCAGCTACCCAGAATAGCCCCAAGGTGTCAGGTGGCGCCCGGGTGCCAGGGCGTGGGGCGGATTCATGGGAAATGTCACTAGGATTGAGTTTGAAGCCATTGCCCTGTGAACCTAGACACCGAGTCTGTGCGCACTTTGGCTGGCTGCCAGCCTTGTGGACTGTGGTGTGCTGGCCTGGCCTTCTGACTTGTCCCAGGAGCTTGGGAAGCAGTGTGAGGAAGGGCTCTGGGGACTGGCAGAGGAATGAGATCCTCAGTGGATGCTGGCAGCTCCAGAGCTGGGGCTGTGTGGGGAGCTCAGGGTATGTGGAGCATTTACCCAAGGTACAAAGGCGAGAAAATGCTGCGGCTCCAGAATGTGTCCTCCCTCTGCCAGGACCCCCAGCAGGAAGGACGGCTGTAGCCTCCCATCTTTCTATCCCCCATCTCCGTTTTCCTCCGAGAAGTCCTAACCACAACCTCAAAGGTTCTTAGAGATGAACTCAAATCCTCATTCTGTAGCTGGGGGAAATTGGAGCCCAGAGAGGGTGATCTACTTGTCAGGGCCACAGGGCAGGGTCAGACAGAGATCTAGGGTCTGATTTGACCAGGGGCTCCGTAGGTTTGTTCCCATATCCAGGATGAAGTCCCTCCAGGCAGAGAGTAAGAGAAAGGGGGGAGGGAGCCTCCGCTCAGCACAGGCCCTTTGCACATGCCACTCCCCCGAATCCTTGGAGGCACCACGCTAGAATGCTCTGCAGAGCCCCCTTTTTGCAGTTGGAGAAACTGAGGTGAGGGTGATGGAGTTGGTGCAAGATCACCATGAGGTGGACAGAGGAGGCAAAGCCACAGCTTATTCCTGCCTGACCCAAGGCTCTTGCTGTTCAGTGTGGGCTTGGGACAGTCCCAGTGAGGTGCACTCAGAACCGCTTCTGCGGGACCAGGTCTAGGGGTGTTTAGAGTGTCCCCTTCCTTTGGGGGACTGCCTCTAATCACTCAGAGTGAAAATGCCGAGGGAGGAGAAGGTCATGTGGGACATGGACCATGGGTGGGCTGCTCGTCCCTGCCAGTGGAACAGAAAACAAAAGTGATTTGAGTGGGATTTCATCCAGGCTGTTTTTTACCATGTGCATGGCTGCCTTTCACTCGGAGAGGATGCCCTGCCTGGGGGAAGTGCTCCACCACTGATCTCAGCTCCTCCCCCTCCTCCTTTACTTTTGGAGACAGGGTCTCCTGAGGTCATCTAGGTTGTCTTCTTAGCCCAGACAAGCATTGGGCTTTCAGTCTCCTGTCTCAGCCTCCGAGGAGCAGGGGTGACAGGTATGTGCCACCAGGCCCTAATTCCCTTTCTTCTTGGTTTGTTGGTTTTTGTTTTTCGAGGAAGGGTTTCTCTGTGTAGCCCTGGCTGTCCTGGAACTCACTCTGTAGACCAGGCTGGCCTTGAACTCAGAGATCCTCCTGCTTCTGCCTCCCGAGTGCTGGGATTAAAGGTGTGCACCACCACCGCCCAGCCTCTTTCTGCTTTTTAAATGTTACACATTTATATATATAGTTTTGAGATGGGGTCTTATGAAGTCCAGGCTGGCCTCGAATTTGCTATGTAACCGAGGCTAGCCTTGAAATCCTGAACCTTCTGCACCTGCCATTGGAGCCCTGGGATTATAGCATGTGCCCCCACACCCAGCCCTTCCTGCTTACTGTGTATGGGAGTGTATGTGCGGAGGTTAGAGGACAGCTTTTGGGCGTTGTCCTCTCTTCCACCGTGAGTTCTAGGGATCCAACTCAGGTTGTCAGGGTTACCCACTGAGCCATCTTGCTCACCCCCTGCCTGCATTTAATGTCAAAATGGATGGCGATAGTTGAAGATAAACTGTTAAATTAATGTGGGTTCGCCCTCTCGTGTAGAAAAGCTTTCTTCCTCCTCATTGTCTCTGGGATGGCCAAGGGACGTTTTACTGTTCCATGAACCTAAACACCTCACGGCAGCTGAGTAGCTGCTGCAGACAGAATCCAGCACATGCCATGGAGGACCGGCAGCCTCTTTGCCTCGGGCATATTAGGTGTCACCAGGACCAAACCTGAGCTATCCTGAGCCCCGAGCTCAGCCTCGAGTCTCAGGTGGAGGACGAGCTGGCCTCCCTCCTTCATTTACCGTCTCTCTGCCTGCATGCCTGCCTTCCTCTCTCTCTCTGGTTTTTCAAGACAGGGTTTCTCTGTGTAGCTCTGGCTGTCTTGGAACTCACTCTGTAGCCCAGGCTGGTCTCAAACTCACAGAGATCCACCTGCTTCTGCCTCCCTAGGGACGGGATTAAAGGCGTGTGCCACCACACCCGGCTGCCTGCAAGCTCTCTTCAGGGCACATCCTGGGTCACCTTTGACAGGTCTCTGGCCTTCCTTCCCTGCCTTCGTCCTCTGGTATCCCTGGCTCTGTGGGATGGGGTTTCCCGGGGACAGTCATCTGAGAGAGGTGGGGGCTGTGTGTCTCATGCCACGGCTTAGCATGCCCAGGAGTCAGGCTACCATCTCCCAAGCCCACCCCCTTCCCCCATCGTTCCAAGCCCCCTCACTCCTGGGCTAAGAAGCCCCTGGTACAGAGGGAGGGACACAGGGACAGCACCCAGGCCCCCCGGGGGAGGGGAGATTAGCTGAGAAGCGAGAGAGAGCACTACCATTGAGAGTCCTCTAGCCTCTAAGAGTCCTCCAGCCTCCTCGAGTCACAGGAGACTGAAGAGAAGGGAAGGTCCTTGCAAAGCAGCTAGCTGTTCGTAGGGGAGGCTTCACAACCCTCAGAAAATGAGAGAGCTGATGTGACTTGGTGCCCTACTAACCATTCTAGATGTAACCCAGGCAACTTTGTTTTGCCTTTTCTGAGCCTCAGTTTTCCCATCTGTTCATGGGCACAGTATCGGTGTCTCTCCTTGCAATAGCTGAAAGGATAGCTGGAAGTCATGGTGGGTAGACATCCAGGTCTGGAGCCTGGCACACTGTGGGTGCTCAAGAAATGTCCCCAGTTTATCTGGCTCCTCTTCTTCTATTCCCTTCTCATCAAAGCACCCAGTGTAGACCTAGACACAGCTCAGTGTGCAGTGAGTGGGGACACCATTGGGATGCCACCGTCCTGTCAATGTTTAACCACAGCTGCATGGACAGAGTGAGCCCCTGGATTCCTTCTAGCATGAAAACTTCAGTAACAGAAAATAGAAGGAAGTCTCCTCTGCAGCAGGGACTGAGTGTTCAGAAGGTCACGTCCCTCGGCCCTGCTCAGCCTACTGTGTCCCTGACACCCAGGGCAGAGTCCTGCAGGGGAAGAAGCCAGGGAATTGCTTCCAGTTTGGAACTCCACCTGCCACACCTGCTGTGTGACTGTGAATGAGTTTCCTAACCTCTCTGGTTCATACCACACCATCGTTTGTGGACCAAATGAAGAGCATGAACTGGATGAGTTAAGAACCCTAGGCTACAGTTCCGTGCCCAGGGCATCTGGGATGGTAGTTAGGACTGTCAGGGACAATGGGAGCTCCTGGAGTCTCTAGGCTGTAGGGTGCGCGTGCGTACGTGCGTACGTGTGTGTGTGTGTGTGTGTGTGTGTGTGTGTGTGTGTGTGTGCACGTGCATGAGAGAGAGAGAGAGAGAGAGAGAGAGAGAGAGAGAGAGAGAGAGAGAGAGAGAGGCTTTCCTCTTTGTAGGTCATCAAGCCTGTGAAGGGGACTTCAGGGCATAATTCCTCTACATGAGTCCCCCACCCCCGAACAAAAGTTCCAGGGCACCGCTCCAAAGTTGGCATTACTTGGAAGTGGCCCCAGGAGCTGGCCTCCCACACTGAAACCTACCCAGCAAATTTCCCCAGGCCCTCCTCAAGGTGAAGGCACCAGACCCCAGCACCAACTCACCAATGGCTGTGAGGAAGAGCCCAGCCTGGTCAATGGGGGCGCTGCCCTCCTCATCATAGTAGTTGACGGTGACCTTGGTGGGGGAGCACACACAGGAACAAGAGAAAAGGGCAGAGGGTCACAGGTTATAGTGAGAAACAAAATATAACAAACGAACAAACAAACAAACAAAACAGAAATAACCCCCTACCTCCCAGCTATCTCTAAATACAGGGCCCCCTCCTCCAGGAAGCACTCCTGGGCTGCTGAGATGCTTCTCACATATAATCTAACAGGACAAGGGGTTATTCTCCCCTACCTGACCTGTGCCCTGGCACATCTCCCCACTTCCTGGGCTGACTATGCTCTGTGTCCAGTTCCAGCTAAGCCCCAGGGGCTCCGCTGTTCCTTTGGATGGTGCCTGGTGCCAACATGGCAACAGGTCTAGAGCAATGTTCACGAGAGAGCCCAGAGTGGGGACCGTCTGGCTTTGGCTACCTCACCTGGCAAATCACTTTGTCTCTAATTGCTCAGTACCACACTTTACAGGCAGGTCTGGGTTGCTATGGATATAATCGCCAATCATTCTATGAGTCTGAGAAACTATTTTTTTTGTTGTTGTTGTTAAAAAAAAACCAACCCAAAACAAAACAAAAAACAGGACTTGCTGCTATATGCCCAAGGCTAACTTCAACACTGTGATGCTCCTGCCTCTTAGGTGCTGAGATTACAAGTGTGCACCCCAAGTCCTGGCTTCTCTTTCCATATGTGCATTTTGAAACATTCTCATTGTGTAGCTCTGGCTAGCCTCGTACCAAGTAGCTGGGGCTGGTCTCAAGCTCACAGCAATCCCCCTGCCTCAGCTTATGCGTCCTTCAACTCTCTGGGTTTTCCTTTCTTTCTTCCTGTACTAGAAATTGAACTCAGGGCTTCACACATGCTAGATACACAACTACTGAGCATTAGTTTCATTAGAGGAATTATTTTATGTGGATTAGGTTTTGCCTGCATGTATTTCTGTGTGTACCACATGCAGGCCTGCTGTCTTTGGAGGCCAGAAGAGGGTGTCAGATCCCCTGGAACTGGAGTTACAGAGGGTTGTGAGCCACCATGTGGGTGCTGGGAATTGAACCAGGGTCCTCTGGAAGAGCAGTCAGTGCTCTAACCACTGAGCCACCTCTTTGGCCTCTAGTTTTCACTTTTTGAGGCAGGGTTTCTTATGTTCCATGCTGGCCAAAGCAGCCCTTGAACTCTTGATCCTCCTGCCTCCTCCACCTCTTAAGTGCTGGGGTTACAGGTGTGCAGTGCCACACCTGGCCATTTCCTTCCCTTTCTTCACTCTGCTGGTGACTGGGAAGGACTCTATGGCTCGCACTGTTTTTATGGCTCAGGCTAGTGTTCCCCCGACTCCACAAGACTCCAGCACCACCCTGGGCTCTCTGGATGTTGACTTCCTGGCCACGGTACCTTGTCGCTGCTGGCCTCTGTGCTGGCCTGGGCCATGCTGAGCCGCAGTGTGGTGCTGGGCGAGAGGGCCCAGCGCTGCTTGCCATTGCTGACTATCTCCTCGGCCTCGCCGTCACGGACCACCTCCACCTTCACGCCCTCCGAGTGCTTCAGGCTGAAGGTTTTGGCTCCAGCAGGGGCTGCACTGTAGGGAGAAAGGACAGAAGGTCAGAGGGAGCCTGGGCTAGGGGGCCAGGGGCCTCGGCAAGAGAGTTCCAGTGGGTAGGGCTCCCAGGCTGTGTGGTCGGGGGACCCAGGCAGACCTGGCTATGATGCCGTGACCTGCTGGTGGCAGGAGACTGTGAAGGGCACAGAGCCCTGGGCCAGTCTTGCACCTGCCGAGTGGGAGTCCAGGAACCTTAAATCTCTCTGTCTTTGTCTCTCTGCTATGCTAGGCAAGTTCTCTGCCACTCAATCATGCCTTTAGCCTTAGGACTGGAAATCGCTTTCCTGTTAGATAGGGTATTTTCATGCCACTCAGGCCGGCCCCAAAGTCATTACCCTTCTACTTCAGCCTCCCCAGTGCTGGGATTTTTAGGCTTGATTTAGGCTCCGATTCATTCATTCATTCATTCATTCATTCATTCATTCATCTATCTATTTACTATTGAGACAGGGTCTCTTGTAGGTCAGGCTGGCCTCAAATTTGCTGAGTGGGTGAGGATAACCTTAAACCTTTGATTCTCCCACATCCACCTCCATAGGCGGAATCATGAGCCTGTGTCGTCGAGACTGGTTTATTCCATGCTGGGACTGAACGCAGAGCCTTGGCCATGCTGGGCAAGTACTTTACCAAGTGGACTACATCCTATTTTAGGCCTTGGATTCTTCCTGGGTTCCTGATGCCTCTGCAGATGGGTGACCAGCTTTGGGAGCACGGGGCTCTATAAGGTGGAGGACAAGCCTAGACCAAAGGATGGTTTTGCTCCAAAGCCTGGGCCTGGAACCCCACCTCCCTGCCTGCTGTCACTGGGGACTTAACAGGATGGAACAGGCCCTGTAGTGGAGGAGAGGACTCTGTCTCAAAGATCCCCGGGCCTGGAATTCCTCACCACTGAAGGTCATGTCTTGGGACTCACACATGGCTTCCTGATGAGAAGGAAATGGTTTGAGAATTGTGAGACCTCACCAAGACTTAGGGCAGGGAGGCTTGCACTGGCTGCTAGGTACAGAAATTTATGTTGCCCCAGATTCATATGCTGACATTTTAACTCCAGCAGGGTGATGTCCGGAGACCTTCAGGAGATGGCGAAGGGCAGCAGGTGACAGGGAAGTGGGGCGGGGATGCCAGGGCTGGCAGTTTGGGTACACCCAGGTTTGAAGGTTCCTAAGGACCGCAGTGGGTCAAGGGGTTCTGGAGGGACTCCTGTGGGATTTGAGATGATGACAGTTCCAGCCTGAGTGTGTCTCAGGGGTACAGCTGCTCCTCTGGGGGCCAGCACTCCAAGTTCCAGGACTCTTAGAAACACTGGGGTGCTTTTTACATTTTCAGGGCATTTTCCTTTCTTTAGTTTTTTGCTTTTGGATCCAGGGTCTCCATATGTAGCTTTGCCTGGAATTCATTATGTAGACCAGGCTGGCCTTGAACCTGAACAACCTTCTTGAGCATTCTTTTTTCTTTTCTTTTTCTTTATTTTTTTCTTTCCTTTCCTTTCCTTTCCCTTCCCTTCCCTTCCCTTTCCTTCCTTCCTTCCTTCCTTCCTTCCTTCCTTCCTTCCTTCTTTCCTTTCTTTCTTTTCCCTACATTTACAGACTTAGGGGGTCCCATCCCCTAAGAGGCTGTCTGTCTGGGCCAGTTGAGACAGGGGTAGCCAGCAATGAAGCAGGGACCCAGCTGAACAAGAGGCTTAAGCTTGTGACTCTCAGATTTAGCAGCAGCAGCAGCAGCAATGTTGGCTAGAGGCTTTGTCCAAACAGAGACTGCTGGGTCCTAAGAATGTACATTCTAGCAACTACCGAGGCCACAGTTTGAGAACCACTGATGTAACTAACCTTCAGCTGCGTGGTCTGGTTGTTCTAGCCTGGGAGTGAGCTATCGTGAGTCTGTAGAGTCTGCCAAGCAATCCATTCTTGGTCTTTTGGCTAAAATAAAGTGGAGGGTGCTAGAGCCCTGCCCTCCTTAACTACTCCATCTGGCTTTATACATCAAGCTTCCGCATGCAGTTCTGAGATAAGGATGCTTTACAAATCACATTGAAAGCACCATCTCCCAGGACCCGGTTAGTCCCCATGCCGGCACCTGCCTCCTTCCCTCTGAGCCAGCAAGAAACCAAAGAAAGGAGCATCTAGTGGGTTAACACTGGGCCACATCAGAGCTCACTGGCCCCAGGCCTCCCACAGCCCCACACCAGCTCTGTTTGAGGCTGAGCAAACAGCTATTCTTGGAGCAGCCCTGGCAGAGGCCACAAAGACGCCATTGTCCCATGTGGATCCTGTTGGCTGCCTCCTCCCCAGGGAAGATCCTGCTAGAATCCCCTGCAGAAACCCAAGAGCCCGGAGCTACAGATGGCTTGGGGTCCCTAGAGGCTGTGGGACAGTATCGAGGGAGGGAAAGGAATGGAGTGGGGTGGCTATGACCTCCTGGCTTATTGGAAAGAGTCTAAAGAGAGCATGCATGGGACAGGAGGCAGGCCCTAAGGACATGTCCACACTGTGTCCCAGCACCCAGGACATGACAGTAAATGAACGAATAATTGCTTCCTGATTGGCTTTGCAAGCTGGTATCAGAGCATTTTTTTTTTTTACGTTTATTAATTTGTGTGTGTGTGTGTGTGTGTGTGTACAAGTGAAGACTAAAGGTTGATGCTGGATGTCTTCCTGTACTGATTTCTACCTTAGCTTTTGAGGTAGGGTCTCTCACTGAACCCAGATCTAATCATTTTGGCTAGTCTAAGCCCCTGGGATCCGCTTGTCTCCATCCCTCAGTATTGGGGTTACAGACCCAGCTGCTGCCTCTGGCTTTGTGTTGGTGCTGGGGATCTGGACCCATGTCCTCAGGCTTGCACACCAGCACTCTATCCTCTGAGCCATCTCCCAGCCCCTCACTGCGCACCACTTTCCCTAATACCCATAATGCTATTCCCTGATTCACTACCTGCCAAATGCCCACCTCTGGATGAATGGGTTTGTGCCTGTGATTATTTTTCCACAGCGATTGCATCTTATTCCTCATTTTGTTTCAGCCCTGGCCTAGTCCAGGCACAAAGTAAATAGAAAGATTTGCTGGAGATGGGGCTGGAGGAGGAGGGCTTGCTCACACAGTCATTTATTCAACACATATCTCCTGAGCATTTACTACACACCAGGCAGAGTTCTGGGTGCTGGGGAAAGACTGGCAAAAAAAAAAAAGCACATCTTTTGACTCATGGAGCTTATATTCTAGTGAAAGAGAAAGGCTTTTTATAGATTATGCAAGTAACTGTGCTGACTGCAACAGAGACACGGGTTGCCAGGCTGGGGGTGTAGCTCGGCAGTGGAGTGCTTGCCTAACATCTGCAAAGTCTTGGGTTCTGAAAATATGGGGTGCATGGTATCTGTGGTTCTCAGATGACTCTCTGAGGAAGTAACATTTGAGCTAAGAGTCTAAACTTTGTTTTCAGAAGAATCAGTTAAGCCCGTGGGTCTGAAACTCCAGCATCAGCTATAGGGTGGCACACTTCTGTCCCAAGAGGATTTCTCTCAAGCTCCAAGCTGCCCTGATGCTGTGGGACCAGGGAGGCCTGAGCCGGAGAAATGGGAAGAAGGTGAGTGTGGCTGGACCTCTCTCTCTCTCTCTCTCTCTCTCTCTCTCTCTCTCTCTCTCTCTCTCTGTGTGTGTGTGTGTGTGTGTGTGTGTGTGTGTGTGTGTGTATGGGGTGTTCACTGATTGGGGAGAGGTCATGGTGGAGCTGGCCTTTCTCCTGAGGGAGGGAAGTCACCAAGGGTCTGCCAGCAGGGAGGGATTTCAGAAGAAAAATAATGGAAGTGCGGGGGAGGGGGTAGTAAGTGAGCAGGTGATGGAGGTGATGGTAATGGCCATGTGTGTGGTGATGATGCCTGGGGCTAGATGGTGGCCATAGAAATGGAAAGATATGGCTAGGCAGACCTTGTCTAGCTCCTCAAATGCTGTGCGGCCTCTGGGGAGCCACCCAACCTGTCTGATCCTCTCTCAGACAATGGGAGAAGGTCTGGGAAATAGCCTGGCAAGGCCAGGGAGGCCCACACAGCCTCACACTTGAGGGCGTGATGTGCCTGGTCTTTGCTGGCCCCTGGCTCTCAGCTTGTCCATCTGGCTTGGACCTCATTAACACCAGCCGGGGTTCATCCTTGGAATGACCCCAGCTCTTGGCAGCTGGGGTGTGACATCCTGCCCTTAGGTCTTTGGAGGAGTTGGAAGGGGGAGTTGTGGGTGCTAGCCTGGTGAGCACCCTCAGAGACAGAGATAAGGGGAGGGAGGAAGATCTCAGTCCAGGCCTCACACCCGATGCTCACTATGGTGGTAGCCAGAGTCCCAATGGCTGGCACTGGCCTAGGCAGGACTGGTAGAGGCAAACCTTGGCATGTGTGTATAGCTGGCCTTCTCTACCTGGCGGCCCCAGCGGCCTCCATCACAGGGTGCCGGCCTCTGGCTCCTCTACAGGGAAGAAACAATTTAATCTCTGACGACTCCTTTCGTCAGAAGCCTTTCAGGACTCCCTCCTACCCACAGAATGACGTCCAGTCCCTGAGCAAAGCCTTCAAAGCCCCAGTTCTTGCTCTCTGGCCCTCAGGCTTATAATCCAGGCCACTGAAATGACTCCCTTCCTGCCTCCATGGGTCCCACTTTCCTGCCAGGTGGGTTTGCTCCCATGGGAATTATCCTCAGTTGCGTGCTGAACCCTTGTCTGTCTTACAAGACCCAGCTCACTTGCCACCTCTTCCAGGAAGTCTTCCCTGATCCCATCAGCCAGATCACCTTTCTCCCTCCCTTAGCTAGGGCCTCAAATACTAACTTGTTCAATATGTTTCTCCCAAGAGTCTCACGAACACTTTGAAGGCAACAATCATGGTTCATTGTGATGGGTGATACAATAATAAACCCAATCTGATTCACAACAATGAATTTACAGTCATTTACTTTTACAAAGCATTTACCAGGTGGCAGCCTGCAAATCACAGACTCTCAGTCCACACTTTACACGACCTAATGAGGCCTGACCAACCCATCCCATTTCACAGATGAGCACACCAAGACCCATACAGAATGAGCCCTTGCTCTAAAGAGGTCTCAGGACCGTCACGGCAGGGTGTGAGTGAACTATGCTCTGTGAGTCCCAGGCCTGGGAGAGTCCACCAGTCCTCACCATGGTCCTCTAGGTAAGGACCCAGAGAAGAAGATCAAGTGAGAGTCTCTTAGGAACCTCAAGACTCATCCCGCCCCCAGTTATTTGCAGATAGGGATCAGAGGCCCAGAGAGGGGACAGCCAAGCGTGGCTTCCTGTTCTGGAGTCTTGGGTAAATGATTGAAATGAGCAGGCTTGGGCCTGTCAAGCCCCTGGGCTCAGGGTCCAGCATGGCTATGGCTGGTCACAAGGGGTCACTTCTAAACACTGGGGTTTGGAGGTGTGAGGCCCTGCAAATACATTATCACCCTAACTCAGGGACCTGTGGTCAGCAAGGAAGAGCCTCACGGACCCCCACTACAGGAAGGGGCCGTGCGTGGGCTTAGCACACACGGTGCCAGGTCCTTCCTCAGCCCTCCCATCCCTGGGCACCAGCCTGAAACCTGAGTCCTAAGCAGCTCCTGGCAGCGCCTCCTGTCCAGGGCCCAGAGCTCTGGGTGTTGTTCTAATTTATGGGGCCACGGGACCTGGCCTGATGTCTTCCTTCGTCAGTCTCTCGGCATCGAGTGTTGCTGCTCTGCCAAACTCTGCCACACACCCTTGACCTTCTGTGGACCCATCCAACGGGGTCTGTCTGTTGAGGTCGGAGGTGGGAAGTGCTGCCCCATGCTAGCAAGCTAGTCAGTCTGCAGCTATCAATGGCTGTGCTCACTCACTCACTCACCCACTCCATGGCCCATAATGATTCTGCAAGGAAATGAGCAGAGAGAGGAGCCATGCCCCAAACACGAAGGAAGACAGGTTGAGAGAGCCCCTGGCAGCCTGGCCCTTGCTCCTCCAGCACTCCTCAGCTGTGCAGTCTGACTTTGGGCTCCCCAAGGGTGAAAGGGACTATAGCAGCACATATCTTATGAAGTCGGTATGAGCGCTGAGTGTATGCAAATGATCACATGCATATGGAATGAGTATGTAAATGTTAGGGAGGCTGCTGGGTGTTCAATAAATGTTAGGGAACAATATTAAGTAAATAATGGCAAATCTCTCTTTCTTGTGTGTGTGTGTGTGTGTTGTATATTCACACATGTATGCAGGTGTATGTGCTTATATGTGCATACTCACAGAGGCCAGAGGACAGCACTGGGTGACCTGCTCTATCTGCCTTAATTTCTCTCTGTCTCTGTCTCTGTCTCTGAAACAGCCTCACTATGCAGCCTGGCTGTGCTGGAACTCACGGAGATCCACCTGCCTCTGCCTTCCAAGTGCTGGGATTAAAGGTGTTCGCCCTGCCTCATTTCTTTGAGTCAGGGTCTCTCACTGACCTTGGAGCTAGGCTGCTAGCCAGTTAGCTCCAGTGAGCCTCCTCTCTGTGCTGCCTAAGCACTGGGGTTATGGTGATTTTTATGTGGGTGCTGGCATTTAAACTCAGGTCCCACCCACTGAGCAATCTCTCAAGCATGATAAAAAGATCTTTGAAAACCAAAACAAAATAAAAAAATAGTCTGTTTCTACCGTGCCAACAGCTTCTAAGTTCCTCAAAGCAGCCTGCATCCAGAGACCACTCACCTCACGTGAAAGAATGGTGGGGCCTGGCATTGGACTGGCAGGGCAGGTCCTACCCGGGTCACATGGTCTGGAAGGAAGAGGGTTCTCCTTCACCCTCCGCCCTTGATGGGAAGTGGGGCTTGTTCATTCACCTTTGTGACTTGATGAAAGAATAATGGGCCCCCACTCTCCTTCCTACATAACTGGGCACACTACCTACAGGCCCTGCTGTGTGGAATCTACTTAGAGGTCCTGGGGGGTGACAGCATCACTCAGGGTCCTGAGCCAGGACCAAGGGAGACTTGGTGAGAAGTAGAGGGCTGGGTGGGGGTAATAATGTTTTAGGGGCAGAGGACTCCCATCCAGGGTGGAGGGTGGCCAGGGGTCACACGGGGTGGAGTGGAGGAAGAAGCCCTGAGCTGTACAGACTTATACCTGGGTGCTGGTTGTCACCAGACAAGTGGCTTCCTCTTTCTGAGCCTCGTTTTCTTCATCAGGATGCACAAAGAGCATCTTCCAGGTCTCACACAGAACGAAGGGGACAGTGCACTGTTTCCTAGTGTCGAGTGGTCATTGACCCTTCCTGCTCCTGTCTGCCTGAGAGGAGCCTTGTCCCTGCAGATACATGTCCCGATGGAGGAGGCTCCTTTCTGCCTGACACATGATCTCAGCTGACAGTGACTTTGCTTCCCTGGGGACCGCTGACATTGTCTGGAGGCGTTTTTGGTTGTATATTGTGATGGGGTCGGGGGGGGGGGAGGAGACTGCTACTGACATCGGGTAAGCTGAGGCAGGAATACCACTCATCATGCTACACTGTACAGAATAGTCCCCTCAATAAAGAATCACCCAGAGAGGCTGTGGGTCTCTGTCCCAGATACATGCTGTCCAGGACGGTGACTGCCAGCATAGGTGATGGCAGGGCCTTTGCAGAGTGACCAGCCACCCCACTCCAGATGAACTTTGAGTTTAACAAAGTCTCACAGGGGAAAGAATGTCAGCTTTCTCATGAATCATCTTTACGTTATCATGTATTCCAATGATGGCATTTTGGATATGTTGAGCTTAACAAAATATAGCATGAGTATTAATTACATCTCTTCAACTTTTGTGTGTGTGTTGTACATGCACATATGTGTGTGTGTGTGTGGGGGAGTGAGTGCCCATGAATGTCACAGGAGGGCGTTGGTCATCCTGCTCTGATGCTCTCTGCCTGGGCCTCTCACTGAACCTAGGCTGGTACAGCAAGCCCCCAGTGACCTTCTTGTCTCTGTCCTCCACAGAGCACAGGAGCACACAGCCACACCTGGTTTTTTACATGGGGCCTGAGGATTCGAACTGAGATCTTCACACTTGCAAAGCAACACTTTGACTCTCAGAGACGTTTCTCCAGCCCTAACTTTCATTTTTGTTGTTTTGAGGCAGGGTCTTAATATGTAGCACTGACTGGCCTGGGAGTTGCCACGTGGACCAGGCTGGTCTCAAACTCACAGAGGTCCATACTTGCCTCTGCCTCCCGAGTGCTGGGATTAAAGAATTAAAGGCCTGAACAACTACTCCCAGCTTCCATCCTAACTTAAAAAAATACTTTTTATTAGTTTTTTTCTTTTTCGTTTTCTTTGTTTTGTTTTGGAGACAGGGTCTCTGTGTAGCCTTGGCTATCCTGGAACTCGCTATGTAGATCAGGCTGGCCTTGAACACACATCGATCCCTCTGTCTCTGCCTCCCCAGTGCTCAGACTAAAGGCCATTTTTAAAATTTTTTTGAGGTGTGCATGCATGTGTTGGAGGGAGGTTGAGAAAGGGTCATGCTGGTAGCCCAAGCTGACCTGGAACTCACTATGTAGTCTAAATGAGCTCTGGACTCGTGGTTCTCTGGTGTTGAGATTACAGGTGTGAACCACCAACCCCATGCCTGGTTAACTTATTTTAAACATAGACTACTACAGCACTTAAAGCGACGGCTGTGGCATGCATTCAGCCTCTTTTGGGCAGGTACTGGTCTAGGCTGTGCTGACCCTTGGTGTTGGGGAACTCTCAATACCGTGAACTGAGTCCTGGCTGAGGCTGATGGAACTAACAAGAGCTGGCACCTGCCCTCTTGTTCCCCACCGGACTCGGCTTCTCTCCCTCTTGTTCCCCACCGGACTCGGCTTCTCTCTGCTAGAGTAGAGCACAGACAAGGACCTGGGCATGGGCCCCTTTTGCGCCCTAGCCCCCAGAAGAGGCAGTGTGCCAGCCTTTCAGACAGTACCCACAGTGACCCAGCAAGCAGACGGGCATAGTGACAGCTGTGGCTTAGGGACCTGAGCGCCCTGGATCCTGGCTTACCCCTTGGCAGTGCCCAATTCAGAGTTGGACAGGGGGAGAGATGGGCATTCTCCCAGGCCACTGGCGCCTAGACCATACTCTACCCTGTGTTACAATTCTCAGGGCCCATCCAGTCCTCCTTTGGGGTCTATATGCAGGACCCCCGAGGTCCAGGCCCGGGTGATGTGGAAGCTGGGCAGAGGCCTAGGAGTAAAGGAGAAGAGAGGGGCCTGGTCACAGGCTTGCTGGGATCAGCAGGGCCAGTGCCTCCTGTAGAAGTGGCTGGGCAGCTGGGAAGGAACTGGAGTGTGTGTGTGTGGGGGTGTGTGTGTGTGTGGGAGGGTGGACTTAGCAGGAGACACACAGGTGGGCTCGGGAGGGCTGGGTGCTTTAGTGTTAGAATGATTTGGGAACAAGGCACACAGAGGAGGTACCCACCCAGGTCACCAGCACAGCGCACTCACAGTCCTGCACATCCCTCCTTCCATCATGAAGTCCTCCCACCCTAGCAATGGAGAACATTTAGAATGCTTGGAGCAGAGAACTACATATCAGACCGTCCTCGAACACCTTTCCTAGGTCCCACACCATACTCTACCCATTTCCTTAGGGCATAGAACAGTGTTAGCACCATCCCTTCACCCTGTGTCTCGGTTACCCCAAACCCCATCAAGTGTGTGGACAGAGAAGATGGGCAGGGGGGAACAGATCCTGGCTCAGTGGGTGGAAAGTGACCCCATTCTGATCTCAGGGTGAAGTCAGGAAAGGCATTTTGGTGACACAGCTCACAGCCAGTGCCTGGGGACAAGCAACCACCAGCAGCCCCCGGAGGGTGAAATCGGATAAGTCCCAGGCCAGATTCCACCTGGGCAGCTCCCCTTGGAGCAAGCTAGTCCCTAGCACATCCAGGGAGTTTCTGCTTGCTGGGAGTAGGAAGTCCACTGGTGAAGGAGCCTGGGGTGAAAGGTAAATCAGAAGGGGTAGGGGAAGTGAAAGGGGCGTGTTATAGAGAGCCCGTGTGTGCTGAGGTCACCAGGGAGGGGGCTGAAGAGACCGGGTAAGGGAAGACTAGCGTAAAGAGGAGCAGTCCGGTAGGATAAGGAGGGGGCTGCGACTGCGTGTCTTGGAGGGCCTCAGGATTGCGTGGAAGTGGGCACTGATCTGGGCGTTATCAGGTTTCTGAGAGTTCTCGGGATTTCTAAAGATCTCGAATTGAAGGGAACTGAAGGACAACTTGGGTACGGAGCCAGGTTGTCCTGGTCCAGGGTCTCAGGGTTTGTGAAGGGTGAGTCGGAGGGAGAGACTCGCCCACTGGACTCACCTGTAGACATCGGTCCAGAGGTGCGTGCCCAGCACGTACACCGCCTCCACGCGGCTCCCGTACAGCAGCCGCACCGTCCGCTCCCGCAGCATCTTATCACCCCGCAGAGCCCGCTGTCTTCCCCGCTGCTCCCGGTTCTGAGCACCTGCTACAGGTGAGCGCGCCGCTGCGCCTGCGCCCGCTGCTGTGCTGCGGGCGGCCTTAAACCACAGCCGGGGGGCTGGGCTGGGCGGGGCTGTCCACCGGACTCCTCTTGGAGTGGGCCTGCGGCCTGTCCATCAGGCCTGGCCCCGCCCTCCTAGCTCCCCCAACCGCAAGCTGTCAATTCCTGCTTCTCCTGTTTGCCTTGCTCATTCTTTTATTCAATAATCCCCCCTTTCGCAGAAAAATGCGAGCAGGGGCAACCGAAGGGACAGGGCAGCAGTGGGTGGGAGCACAAAGGGGGCGACCAGACCCAGTCTGGGGCCAGGGAAGGCTTCTCAGAGGAGACCTCTGAGGTTTCTTAAAGAAGATCTTGGCAACACAAGGGGAGGAGAGGAGCCTCCGGGACACCTTCGGGAAGCTGGGCACCCCCACATCAGATCTACATTGCTGTGGGAAATAGGGAGTGGGGGGAACTCTGCCCCTGGCAGGGACCAGGATGCTAACTAAGCCCAGGCATGAGAGGGGCTGCAGGAGCCTGGAATGGCTCTTCCTCAGGGGTGATCTGGGAGTGTATTCTGGCTGCTCCAAACCACGGTGAGCAGGCTGAGCTGGGGCCAGCAGTGAAGACCCCGGGTGGAACGTGAGAGGGCTGGAGAGGGGAGGATTGGTCCCAGTAGTGTTTATGGATGGAGATTTGGGTGGCTCCCGGTGGCTGAGAGGGTGTGCCTGTTTGAAGGACAGGGACCCGGCAGAGGATTAGGGCCCCAGCCTGGGACACCAAAAGGTGTGCCAAGGTAGAGGTCAGTGTGTGTTCTGGAAGGCCAGGGTGCATGTGATATCTAGTGGGGGGTCTGAACCATTGTGAACTCCATCCAGGCACTTTCTCTCTGATCCCAAGCCTGAGACTATGCCATAAACAGCAGCATTTGAGGAAGTGGCTTCGTGTCGTGGGAATGGAAATTGAAGGGCGGATGGAGGGGATGCATATTGGGGAGGGAGGTGGGCTGATGGGAGACCAGGGAGGGGGTGCACTGAATTAAACAGGGCTGTTGATAGGTACCTAATGCCCAGGCACACCCAGCTAGTCCTTGACTCCAATCTTCTCAGATGCCCAAATTAGGAGATGGTAAGGACCCCAGCTGTTCCTGGGTGTCAAGGATCTGGAAGGAATGTGGGTGGAGAAGGGAGAGAGCTAGAGTCTCTGCCAGAGGGGTCATTGTCCCCCTCAAAGGCTTCCTGTTCAGATCCTGGGAGAAGCTGGTAACTTCTGATTGGTCCCTGGCAGAGTTTTCTCCAATCAGCAGGCAGCATGTCGAGGGCCATCTGCCTAAGTGGGGAGCGAATCCAGGTAGCACCAGGTAGCTGATAGAAGCCCTCCCCTTCAGAGGTAAGCTTGGGTCTGAGCACCCCTCTGCATGTAAGCCAGAGGGAGTGCTTCCTACCTCCAAGGGAGGCAGAATACGAGTCTTTGATGTCACCCCCTCCACCAAGTAAGTGGGGTCCAGTGTGGGGCAAGGACACATCTCTTAACCAAGTCCCAAGTGGGTCACAACAGAGCCAGGGTTCTGATGACTCAGGCAAAGGCCATGGTTACCCAGCTGAGCAGAAGTCACAGTTTGGACTCATTGCTTGTGTGGTTTCTGCACCCCCACACTGCTCTCAAGTGGCACTTTCCAATGTATTAGATTATTTTATCTTTCCAGGAACCCTGCCACTTCGGAGATGAAGAAAGAGAGCACAGAGAAGGTGAAAACCAAACCTGGGCATGCACAGCTCCTGGCAGTGGCAGAGTAGGAACCCGGGTGGGGACACAGGGTGTGCAGGCAGGGCCTTAGTGGGCAAGGATGGCTCACCCTACCCGAGTAAGCTCACAGGCAACCCCTCATTTGAAATGACACTAAGTGAGACAATATTCAGAAAATGCCGGCAGAGTCTGGTCCAAGGCTCAGGACACAAAGCCCCCTCTCCTTACGTAATCCACCCCTGTCTGGTCACCCACACTTAGGCCTCTGACCTGCTTCTGGCTCACCCCATTGGGCCCAGTGCCTGGCTTGATGGGGTAGGAGCTTTCGGAGCCCAAGGGTTTAAAATAGCTGAAGTGGTCACAGCTGTTGGTGGATTGAGGGCCGGAGGTCTCACACATTACGGCTGCTCCTGCTGCTCCCACGGAGCCTAGAAAATCCACATGGCATCTCTCAGTGCCTTTTGGAGAGTGCCAGCAAAGGGTAGGCTCAGATCTGACCAGTTCCCAGCACTGACGGTCCTGGACCCCTCCTCCAATACAACCCCTGCCAAACACGGGGCCAGAGAGCCTGAGCCCGGAGGGGCCTCCTCTGCCAGGCGCTCTGCCCTGTTGTGGGGTTGCTCTGTGCCTGGCTTTGGGAGGTGACTTAAAACATCCATGAGCCTGCTTTGAGATGGGCAGCTCACCAAGGGTATTTTTAAAAAATGGAAAAAGGAAAGAAAAAAGCTGGTTACTGGGGAAATTTAAAAAATCACGACATCCAGGGCCTAGCAGCAAAGATCAATGCGGACATCTTTGTGGTAGGACCTCCCCACTTTCAGGTGTGTGCATGCATGTATGTGGGTGTGCTTACCCGTGCACGCATGTGCGGAGGCCAGAGGTCAATGTCAGGTATCTTCCTGTCTCACCTTCTACCTTAGTTTCTCAATGTTACATGTTCAGTGTATGGATGTTTTGCTTCCACGTACGCCTGTGCACTGTGTGTGTGTGCCTGGTGCCCTGGGAGGCCAGAAGTGGGCATTGGGTCCCCTGGAGCTGGAGTTACAGACAGCTGAGGGCCACCACGTGGGTGCTGGTCCTCTGGAAGAGTAGCCAGTGCTCTTAACCACGGAGCTGAGTCATCTCTATGCTCCAGTCCTTCCACCTTAGTTTGTGAGGCAGGGTCTCTCCCTGAACCTGGAACTCAACATTTTAGCAAGAGCAGGGGACCGGCAAGGCCACCCACCCCATCCATCTGAGAAAGCAAGCCCTTGGCCGTGCTTTGAGTCTCGGCATAAAGGTCCCGCCCAGGGGCAACCGCCATGACATAGAGTCCCGAGGCTGCGCCAGGAACTGCTCTAACATTTTCCCACATCTGAGCTCACTTCACCCCCACGACAGCCCGGTGCAGTGGACAGCATTGTCACCCCATTTGAACAGAGGCCCCAACCCTCCCAGCAGAAAAGACATCGGCCTTTGGACATGACAGACTGGGCTCTGCTGGGGCCCTCTCTGGCCTCTGTGTCTTCCTCTATGAAAGAAAACACTCATAGTACCAAGCCTGCGTGATTGCAGATGGTAAAAATGATGGGTGGCAAACGGCTCCGCCTATGGTGGCCTGGCACAGAGCCAAGTCCCGCTGCTAGCTCATAGTTATTTTCTCTGCAGATGACCCTTGTCTGACGGTTTTGCAAGAGGGGCTTCTGACTGTGCTATTTTTTTAGACGCTTGGAATGCCCACAGTGTGAGGACAGCCTGGCTCCACCTTGTGAGTCCTGCGAAAGGACTTGGGCTCTATCTTAAGGTCATGGGAAGTCACGGAAAGCTCTGGAATGTGATGATGGCATGACCTCACTTGAGGAGACTCCCTGTGGAGACAGGAATCCTGGCGGGAGACCAGAGTGCACTTGAGATGGAGGCGGGCGCCCTCCCTCTGTGGCTGACCACGGGACCTGCAGGCCTGGCCTGGCCTCACTCCCTCACATCGCCCCTGTTCCCAGGAGAGTCCTGCTTCTTCTCTTTCTTAGGGGTGGGTAACCGCCTGGCTGGTGAAAGAGGGGCAGCTGGGGATGGCGGTGATGGTGGGGGAGGTTGACACAACACTTGGTGGAGTGAGCCAGATTCTGCAGTTCGCCAGGCTTCCATGGTTAGAAGGCACTCTGAGATTCCGGGAAGGCTGGAAGAGGTGATGACCACCAGGGGGCACCAGGTCCCCATTTTCGAGGCACAGGAAACTAGTGTTCTGAGTGGGGTTGGGTCACCTCACAAACTAGGGTGGAAGGGCTGGAGCACAGAGATGACTCAGCTCCGTGGTTAAGAGCACTGGCTACTCTTCCAGAGGACCAGCACCCGCATGGTGGCCCTCAGCTGTCTGTAACTCCAGCTCCAGGGGACCCAATGCCCACTTCTGGCCTCCCAGGGCACCAGGCACACACACACAGTGCACAGGCATACCCTGGGACAGCTTGTTGCTGCCCAGGCTTGCTTCGCACCTTCTTTTAGCACCCAGGACCCTCTTGCTCCCCAGAGCTTGGGTTGCGATCCAGGGACTCCACTTGCATCAGGCCAGGTCAATGCCAGGTCCCCCGGATGAGACAGGCTCTCTGGTCAGAGGAAGAACTGAAACCCCAAACGGGGCCCCAGTGCCCTGGCTGACATCACAGAGCACTTTGGGCAGTAGAGGCGGGTCCTCTAGGCCCATCTTATTACTTTAATGTGTTTGTTCAGTGAACCTGGGCCATCGACTCATTTTTAAAGTTTAACTTTTTTTTTTTTTAAAGGTTTGTTTATTTATTATGCATACAGGCTCTGCCTGCATGTATCCCTGCAGGTCAGAAGAGGGCACCAGATCTCATTACAGATGGTTGCTGGGAATTGAACTCAGGACCTTTGGAAGAGCAGCCAGTGCTCTTAACCTCTGAGCCATCTCTCCAGCCCTAAAGTTTAACTTTTTAAAATTTTGTGTTCATGTGTGGATATACATGTGTGTCTGGGTGCCCATGGAGGCCAGAAGTGTCCAGGTCCCTGGAGCTGGAGTCACAGGCAATGGTCAACCACCTGACGTACAGGTGGGAGGTGGTGCTTCAGGTGACGGTTGGATGAGCTTACAGAGGCAGAGTGGAGATGAAAGAACTTTCTGGAACAGTTCCTGGAGACTTTGGAGCCCTGAGCCCTCTCTGTCCCTTCACTGAGCAGAAGCTTCAGGCTATGGACCTTGCTGCCAGCAGGAGGCGCCAGGAACCCAAGGAACCGAGCCTCAGCCCTTGGGAGACCGGTGTAATGGCTCCTGGGAGCAGGATAGTCCCAGGATTCCTTCCTCAG